CCAGTGTCCCTGGCTCCCAGCTCCCTACCTGCTGCTCTCCACCCCTTCAGCTGTGCTTTCACAGTAATTTTGTGGCTATAAACCGAGCAACTGAGTTAATAATCATCTTTCACCAGGATGTTGTGATAAGCCTGGCTGTGCAGCCCCACAGGGTTGTGCCAGCACAACTGAAAAAACCATTGTCACCGGAATGCCAGGCTGGTTTAGACTGAGGTGCCACAGAGCAGGGCAGTCCCACCTCTTCCCTTGGCTACCACTTGGGTTTTCCTGATTGTTCAGCACCACAGAATGTGTGAGTATGTGCCAAGTAACAACCCCAGCTAAAAGCAGAGTTCTCACTGCTGTTTTATTGGAGGGATTTTGGCTTGGAAGAAGCTTTGGCTTAAGTTCCATACAGTCTATGCAGCACTCTGGATTTAGGAAGCTCCATCTAAAATATTACATTTTTTTTCTCTTTTTTTTTTTTTGGCCTTCTTTTAGATTCCAGGTGAGAATTATTGGTGGATTTAATCTCCTGGAAACCTACATCCTCATTGTACAGAGGGAGCAACCACAGCAAGTGCAGTAAGAGGGCAGGCTTCATCCATGCTCCCTTAGTGTGTGCTTTCCCTCCAGCCAATAATCACCCCCAGCTTAATTAGCTAATGTTGTGTTTGGGGATTCAATATTTATGCATCAGTGAAGCAATAACATTGCAAACCACTCTATTTGCTGAATGCCCTTTTATATAAACTGGCTGTGCCCACATAGATTGTTGCAAACCAAGATAAATTGCACCGGAACGATGTATTTGCAGGTCAAATTGGCTCTGATGCAGCTGCTGTACCAAAGAAAAATTCCCTTATTATGAAGCTCCAGAATCCTCTGTCTTTCCTTGGAGGATAAATACTGTAAACACTGCTGAGCCTGTGATGAGGAGTTAATCTGGCTCTAATGGAACTACTCAATAACAGGCTGTACATCTCCTAAGTAGGGAGAACATCTCCATCAAAGAATTTTGAGTTGGTTTTATTTCTTTTGTGTTGACTAAAGAACCTGGTTTTGTGTTTTTGTTTTTGTTTTTTTTTCCCAAAGTCTAAATCTCCTGAAAATTTTAACTTTGCATTATAAAGTTGTGGGGCTTTTTTAAACACGATTTTTCAGTGTTTTTTAATGACATTAGGTGAACATTTAAATTTTTTCTCTTCTGTCAGGACTGTATGTTTTTCATAGGGAAAATGTTTTTACTCCCCTGTGGCATATCCTTGTATCAACAGAAGTTTTTGTTTAAGGCCAAATTTATCAGACTAAATAGGAGCTTTCACCACTGACTGGGTTATTCATTAACTGAGGTTACCCTGGAGTTGTTCTCATATATAAAAACAAAATTTAGTGCCCAGGGATAAATCTGCTGCCCTTCCATTTGAGGTCTAATCCAGCCAATTCCAGCACTCTGAGGACAGACAAGCAGAAGCAGCAGCTTTGTCTGCAGCTGCCCGGGGCAATAAACCAGAAGCCCAAACTCTCTCATCCCTTGCCATGCTCCAAGCCAGCCACTTTTTCTCTTGTAGATCTTTCCCAGCCATGCATCTTTACAATTTTTGAAGACAAGATAAGATCTCCTGCTCTTATCAAACTGGGACTGTAAAAAGATCTCAGGGCAGGAGAAAAATCTCACATTTCATTTTGTCGACTCCTTTTGCTGGCGATGCTTTTGTGTTCCGAATTCCTCGTTAAGAGTTCAATTAAAAACTCCTTCAGGAGCTGGCTCTGCATTTGTCTGTGTCACATTTGTTGCTTTGTATCTGCTATGACCTTTCCAGTGAGTGATCACACTGCAGAGGTACAGACATTTCACTCCTGAGTTACTTTTCAGGCAGAGGCAGGGTCAGCTGAGGACACTCCGAGCGAGGACTCACCGATGCACCGGCAAATTCGGTGATGTTGTCGCGTCATTCCTTTCTGTCCCAGCACTCCAAACCTCGGGGTAGGATGAGGCTTTGGGGGTCTGAACAACCATGCTCAGGGGAGGTTTCTCAGGGAGATCAGCTTGGGAATCCTGGGAATGCCCTGAGACCACAGCACAGGGACAAGGACTGGTTTTGTTTCTCTTTCGTTCCATGGTGGGGTTTGTTCATCTAGAAAATAACATCAATAGCAGCAACTTGTTGCTCTGGCTCCGTGACCAACAGACTTACTGGGAGCTGTTGGTCAATTATTTTGGGATTCTGTGATGAAAGTTGCTAAAGCAAATGGTTTATTTTAACCTGATTTGTGTGCATGGTAATGCAGTCACACAGGCTCCCAGGATCAGAGCCGCTTCTCTTAAGCTGTCCACAAATACTTGACATGACAATGCCATAAAATCAGGGAACTGGATAGTCTGGAGTTAGAACTTGAGCCATCAGTCACAGTCAGGGTGTAATAGAGCTATAAAAATGTGCATTGACACCGAGTGTGATCAAAGTAATACAAACAATATACTCCCAGGCAGTGTATTTACATGTGCCACTGTCAGATAGATTCCACTGGCATGCCTAGATTTAGTTTCCACATTATTTCTTGGATTTGATTGTTAGGTAACACTGGGCAACATTATGATTGAAGAGAGTAAACACTGTGCAGGGGAAACGACAAGAACACTTACTCTGTCAATTCTCCTTTTATTCCCAGCAGTGAAACTGCATTATCATTGCCACAAACTTAATCCCATTTTGTTCCTGAGTGCAGGACGTCCGTAACAGAGCAATACAAATGAATTAAAATCTATTGATTGTATGGAAAATTAAGTGCAACCTATTTAAAACACCCTAAGTGATTAGATGCAATAAAGTGTTACGGATACGATTGCACAGCTGGCAAACCCGAGTCAGGAGAAAACAATTCCCTGCTCCCAGTGAGAGAACCTGGCTCCCAACCTTGGCTTTTCCACTGGGAGCCTCACAAACACTGTGAGGGGACAGGTGTCAGCCCCATCCCAGCTTTGCCACTCCTCATTTAGACTTTACATCGAGTCTGTGCGAGCTCTGCCTTGAAATCACATTTTTTTGTGTTTATAAGCAAAGACAAACCCCTGTTTATTAGCTCTGGTTCTAGAGGAGCAAAGGTGTTACATAAAGGGCTGCTGGTACTTTGGATTACACAACATTTTGAAGGGACACGTGACACCGTCACAGACTATTTATATGTACATTGGAAAGTAACTCTTGATTATCTAAAGTCGTTTTTATCCTAAACAGATCAACCTTGCTGAGAACGTCCAGAAAAACAATTCTGCAATGGCCTCAAAGAAAACTGCCCTGTTGGTGGGGACACAAAAGGATTCAGGAGTATAATTTTACTCTCTTAGACCAAATGAAGTCCTAAATTGGAAAAGCAGCTCTGTCCAAGGTCGCCTCTGTTGTTTCCAAAAATATCTCGAAACAAACGCAAGAGGGGCACTTTGTTGGGTGTTATCTGGACATATATAGTTTCAATCAAATTCTTCAACAAGTGTCAGAGTAAAAGTCCAACGTCTGTCTGACACTGCCAAGTCACCAGCAAGTGAATCCCCTCAAAGGCTGAAAACAAATTTGACACCAGAATGAAGAAAAAGGTTGGAAATGAATTTAATGACGGAATTAAGAATCATGGGGTGTCTTCTTTAAAGGCACAGTGATTTGGGATGGAATTGTAAACTCCTTTTAGATATTTCCTAAAAGGATTGTCTAATTCTTTCCACAACACAGGGTGAAGTGTTACAAGGTTGTGTTAATGATCCCAGGAAAATATTTATAGTGCTTTTTCCAGCATATGAGTTCCCTCTTTCCCTCTCAGCGTGTTTTACGATCAACCTTCGCTTCAATTAAACCAACAAGCAGAAAAGAACCTTCATGGGATGAGATTTTAAACAGATGCACTTCCCATACAAATGCTTGTGGAATACAGAGTACAAATGACTGAAGCAGAGATAGTAAATAAAAACCACAAAAGGAACAGCACAACAGTAAGAGCCCACTCGGAGCGAGCCACGCTCCATCTCAGGCTTCAAATCCAGATTGCTCTCTAGTTCTGAGCTGTGGGAGATGTTTCCTGAAGGAGATTTAATGTCAGGATGATGCTGTCCCTGCCCATGAAGTAATAAAAGCCCAATTTTCCTCACTGCCCTGGGAACATTACCTGGATCTCTCCTGCTCCCTGGCGTGGGCAGCACCCGAGCAGAGCCCCCATGGAAGGGAGAAACCCTTTGGGCCAGGAGATGGAACGTGGATGTGAATTATTAGTGGAACAGGTTGTCTGTGGGTGACTTTCAGTGTTCTGTTAGTTCTGTTTGCTTTTTAACGTGCTATAAAAACACTTCAGGCTTTAAGCACAAAACGAGGGAGATGGGGACAATGTTTTATAAATACTCAGAAAACCTCCACGTTTGTAATGCTGCAGTTCCCAGGATGCTGGTTTAGAGCACTGCATCATTTTAATAGCAGTTGGTAAGCAAAATGTATAATTTTAATGTGGTTTATTTTTTAAATTTTGAATTTACCCATTTTTACAACCTCAAATTAACCAGCCCTTTTTGCTTTTTTAGTGGTAATTCCTTTTTAGTGGTAATTCTTCACTAATGGCTCTAAGATTTCTGTGATAATTGCAAAGAAAGGCCTAACCACCAGTTTACTCACCAGAAAATGCTGCAATAGTGTAAACCAAGTAAACTGCTGAATTATTCTGATTTTATAACCTTAGAGTTTCAACTGCTATTTAAAATCCAGTTAAAAAAACCCAAACATCAACCCCTGCAAATTTTAATTGCAGAAAATCTTAATGGGGGTGAGTGTTTTTTGTTGTTTTTGGGGTTTGTTTGTTTGTTTGTTTTTATTTTTTTGGGTTTTTTGTTTTCAGCATAAACCAATTGTAAAATTTATAAAGCAGTTGGGAGATTAATTCCTTCATTATTTCCCTCATCTGCTCATTATTTGTGTGTGATGTATGTCTTTATGATTTGTTGTTATTGCTTCCTAAGTGCAAAGCATATTTTTTATTCCATTCCAGGAAAAATAAGTAGGGAGAGAGGAAGGAATTCATCTTTGAAAACTGGTAAGATCCCATTTTCCGTATTTCTATCAACTGCATTTTTCTTGCTGTTAGCAAAAAGTGCAGGATTTGGCTTTATCCTATTTCAAGAATAGACCTAATTAAGTGCTTATTGTATGAAGGAGTGGCTTTAGAACTTGTAATAAAATTTAGAAGCTTAAAAATTACATATTATTGTGCACTAAGAGACTGAACTGAAGCAGGAAAATAGACATTGGCTGGAGAAGATCCATTTGCAGGAAAAGAACTCCATTCAGCAAATGCTGCCTGTGGGTATCCCAATTAGCAAAACCATATTTTTGTATAACTTTGCAGAATGGAAGTGCAAAAAAAGACACTTTTTTATGACAAATATAAATAATGCCTTTAAATACAAGGTAAAGAACACAGTTTTATTCTAATGATAAACACTATAAACACTTCAGCACTAGATTTGTGCAACAGCCTCTCATGGCTGTCTACTGAAAATCAAACTATATTGCTCAGGACTCGTAATTTCAGTTGTTTGTACTGGGAAAAACTTCCCCAAACACTTAATTTTTGTTGATTTGTGTCGGGGGGAAATCGTCATTTTAGATAATTACCGTGATTTTTGTTCTCTGGGTGCTGTAAATCTGCTGCTGGCCCTTTAATTCCTGCTTGTTCTGTCAGGATGAAGAACACGGAGCTAAATCCAGCAGACCTTATTTTGGCAAAACTCCCACTGAAGTCGGGGAGGGTTTTGTCAAAGTGAGGCTGGTGTGGTTTGTCTCACAGTTCCTGCGGATTATTTGGAACATGTTTGCTCCCTCTGCAAGCCCCCAGAGCTCCTCAGCCGGGGTGACATCAGCAGGGAGCAGCCTGGAAACTGGAGTCATGAAAATCAGTGTCATGCAATTGTGAAAAATACCCTTTTCACCCACTGACCTTGGGATAACACGGCTTGCCTCAGGAATGTGGCTGCCCCTGTGAAACTACTGCGACAGAACCAGACCCTGGGAATTTGGAGAGCCCGTTTTAAATTCACGCTGAGGGTTTAAAGGACTCTCGAAACAAGCTGGAAATAGGTCAAATACTGATTGTGAGAAAACAACTCCCCACATGGGTGTTGCCCAGACAGGTGGGACCTTGTGATAAAGTTGTTGATTTGGGCAATGCTTCCTCACTTGGAACACTGGCACGTCCATGGGAATGTCGATCCTGTTTCCATTCCAGGTTGCACAAGGGACAGGCAGGTGAAGAGTTAATTGTGTTCCCTCTGGCTGGGAGGGATAACACCAGGAACACACAGGCTTGACTTTCTGAAGTCAGAGCAAATGCAGGGCCAGAGAGAGAACCCAGATCCACCAAGGACCATCCCCACACAGGGTGACAGAATAACAGTGTCCCAGAATCCCAGAATATTCTGAGTTGGAAGGGCCCACAAGGCTCATGGAGTCCAGCTCTCCAGTGAGCGAGTCCCTGCCTTTCTCCTAAAGGGACAAACCTTCCCAGTGACAGGTTCCACCCTCCATGTCTTGCAGTCAATCACCACCTGCCTCCATGTGGGAGCTGACTCCAGGCTGGCCAAGCACTGCCAGAGAGCTGATTTAGGAGCTAGACTGGCACTGCCAAATGGCTCTGCATCGATGGCTCACTGGGCACAGCCACCAGGGAGCGGCTTCTGGGCCAGGCATGGAATTCTGGCCCAAGGAGAAGCAGCTCTGAACTGCATTTGCAGTTCCTGAACCAGCAAGTCACCGGGACAGCAGGTTCCATATTGATTATTGGGTAGTAAACTATCCCTGCTCGTTAATCACAACGTCCTCATCACGAGGACATTTCCAGGCACTGAAGCTGCTGCTGACCAGCTCTGCTGCTCTGTGTTTTGGAACAGTGAGCAGCTCCACGCTGCTCACACCGCACTGCTCACAGGAGGGAAGTCTGATCAAGAAAGCTCTGGAAACTGCTGCATTTAAACGTAATAAATGCAAAAGGAGGGCCTAACTTTTGTGATTGTGGGTAACTATATGCATGTGACAACCTGAGTAGTAATATCCATTATGAGTGAAGAGACAGAAACAAGTAATCCTAGACTGGGGTTAGCCAAGGAAGTATAAGAACATTTATTTTAGTTATTATAGCTCAAATGGAAATTAAATGGTACCACCAATATAACCCAAATGATGTGATGCCCAGGTGGTAAATGACTGCTCCTGTAAGAGGGTGGATGTGGTGTTTTCTCATGCCTGGAACTATTTTATCTCTCAGGTCTACCTGGAACTTGCTGTAGCTCCAAGAACAGCCAAAATCAACATCCCTAAATCCCCCAAAGCTGCAGAATATTACAGTAGCTTTATAGCTGGGTTGCTTCCTCCTCCACTTCTGGTTAAGGACAAGGAGAAGCCTTTGGAAACAAAAGGAGCTGCTGCTCATGTGACTGCTCAGATCACTGTTCCAACCAGGAGAAGTTTGGTAAGTGCTGCAGCCCCAAATATGCCCACAAACATTTTTTATTTATTTGGACCTTCCCAAAGGAAAGGCAGGTATTTTGCCATATGGGGTGTTAATAATAATAACAAAGCAAAAAGAAAAAAAAAGAGAAGTTAGCTTTTTGTTGCAAGATAGGAAGATAAAACTGTGAAATTCAAAGATTTCTGAATGCTCCCACCTGCGTGGAAAAGCCAGTGAACAGAATCCATTAAAGCTGCATTTATTAAATGTCCACTTGTATAAAAAGCTAAAAATAGCGTTTGAGTTTCTCCAATTTTCTTTTGATAACAGTTATTACGATTTTCTGCTTCATCTCAGAAAGTCATTTTGCTGCTGCTGCTGCAGTGTGTAATCTGTGTGCCCTTTCTTGGGGCAGCACAAATGACAGAGCACTAATCAGATCAGAACAACAATCACGTCATCTTTGAGTAACTAGCAATAAACTGTTTTTACAAGGGAGAAAGATGAACTATTCTTGGTTTCTCCGAACAGAAAAACAGAAAATGATTGTACTCAATCTCACTCCACATCATTGCCATGGATTTCCAAGGCATTGCTTTTTCCTGGGAAGCGGGCTAATCCCTGTCATACATCTTTGTGTAAATGGTCCAGTCAAATAGGATTTCTAAGGTTTTCTTAAAAGTTTTGGCTTGAAGTCCGTGAAATCCCCTTTCTCCCTGCCCTGTCTGGTGACTCTGAACCAGAGGCTGATTCCTAAGTAACCTAAATGCCCATTTTTGGTGATTGATGCCCCATTGTCAGCATGTCTCGTATCTTCTTGTCTCTGTTCTTTCACTGTTGCTGCCAAACCTTCTGCAAACCCCTCCATCAGAAGAAGTCCAGAATGGGATTGTCATGACTTTCCCCAGCTCAACAGCCCTGAGGAGCCAGGCAGGTGCCATGTGGTGATCCTGGAATGGGGCAGGCAGGCACAAAGCCTGTCCTGGCACCTGTGGATCTGACCCCACTCCTCACACTCCCACTGCAGCGGGAACCCTTCGGGGACATCAGAAATAAATGTCAGTAAATGAGCCACTCAAACCTCCTTTTCCTGTGGCCCAGCCACCAACAATTTCCTTCTTTCACCTAAGAAATGTGAAACAGAAGAAGACCACACAGTCACAATGTAGTTTTGGCAGCTTTTATTTTAGTCCTGTTAACAAATGTATTTAATGCAAAGACAAACTGGGAACTCTATAATTACCATACTCTCTCTGGATATAGAAACCAGCAGAAGATCTCATAGTGAGGTATCAAAGAAAGCAAAAAATATTTTTTTTATATATCCTGAAAAGACATTCTACTTCAGGCAGGAAAAACTATAAAAAAACCCCACCAACCAATCTAGAAATCCAGCAAGCCAAAGGAGAGGGAGGAGACGACCCTTTTTGGGGGTGTAATCCCTTTGGAACCACCCTATGCCCACAAAGCAGCTCAAAAACATCCTCACAGGGGATGAAAAACATCCATTTTTCTCATGGGCACCTCAGAGGAAAAAAAAAAAAAGAAAGTGCAAGAAAAATACTTTCTGTTAAAAACATCAACAAAAGATAATGGAAAAAGCTCCGAATCCAAGTGATTGTTCTCCAGAGCTGCTCCTGACGCTGCAGCAGTGAAGTGTCTCCTGGAAGCACAATCAGCTGAACTGAACCGTGCAAGGAAAGTGTGAGCAGGACAGGCTGAGCAGGGGGTGAGGCCAGGGCTGTGCAGCTCCTGCAGTCACACTGCATGGATAAGGACAAAAGGGAAGGACAGGGCCAAGCCAGGAGGGCCACAATTATACAATCTCAAGCCCCAGGCCTTGCAAAAATGTAACCTTAGCGATGGAGAATGAGAGGCAGAGCAATTAGGTAAGTTTTCCCTGACCCTGGAGAAGGATTTGTTTCCCTTTGATCTCCCTGCAGATGCCCTTCCCGGCCTCATAAACCAGGGATTTACGAGGAGCTTCACCCCACAGTGCAGCTCTTCCAACAGACCTTCCAACCACAGCACGTTGCCACCGAAACAGTGGAGGGGTCTGTTGCTCTCCTTGTTTATCCACCAAAACCAAATACTGCACAGAAATTGTAGAACTGATGAGAGCAACAGGATTTAGTAAGAGTTTTCCATTCAGAAGCCAACACAGTCTTCCCACTTCATGCAGGTATTGGGAGGAGGAAGAACTCATAACACAAGCCTGTCTTTACCTCCCTCCTGAATGACCTGACCAATGGCTGCTTGATTTTGTTGTTTCTGAAAACATTCTCTTTTGCATTCCATTAACTGCTCAAAGTCCTGCCACATTTTCCTTTGCTTCATATTCGGCCCGTGACTTTCCCGGACAACCTTCTGCTTCTCTCGTAATTTCTGTTAAAAATACAAAACCCATTAGATTTCTGCAAGAGTTCTACGCCCCAAGAACTGCTCACACGGCTTGGAATGACAGAGATTTTTATATGCTACTGAGATATTGTTTTGTTCAAGTCGATAACACTCCCTGCAAGTGCTAAATGCATTTAACACCTGGGACTTGGATCTTTGTACAGATTGACAAGTCTTTCCATGGTTTTTAACTGTCTAAATATTAGTCTTATCTACTTGAGAACTTATGCTTAAAAATCTGAGATCATTTCCACACAGAGCTCTTGCAGTATCAAGATGCAACCTGCAATGGATTCCTATCATGATATTCTAACATGAAATCAATGTTTTACAATTAAACCCCCTTCTGATTATTAATAGTGACAGCCCAAACCTGTAAACTCCCCCCAGACTGACTCAGAAAAGGAAATCAATAAAAGCTGTTTGGTGTGACTTGCTAAGCCCAACCTTGTCCATGCTGATCTGAGCTTCGGACAAGATTAAAACTGGACAACTGGTTTTGTCTAAGGCAGATGATCCCCTGGCCTTTACCAACAGTGATAAGGTTGACAGGCTCAGAATTTATTGTCTTCAACAGGTTGCTTTATATACAACAGAAAATCTGAGCTGGCACCGTTCGTTATGCCCGTGTTTCAGTTTCTTATCCAAATGGTTTTCAGGGAACGTGCTGTCACATTGAGCTGTTTGACATCTTTTACAGCAGCTCATGCTATTCCCTGCAGGAAATCAAGCCCTGAGGAGTGAGCAGGATCCCTTTCCAGGGTATTAGTTACCAGTGCCAGCAGTGATGGAATTTTCTTTGTAGGCTGCAATACGCTTTTTATAAAGGACCGACCACAGCCTTTGGGAATAAACCCCCCCAAAAATACAAACTGTCCAATGTTTGTGTGAAGTAAAAGCCTCATTCTCACCTTCCCAAGGTTTTCTTGTTCAAGGATCATCCGTGTATACTGTTCTCTAAAGGAAATATAAAATGATTTTATCATGATTTGGTTCTACATAACAGGGCAGAATAATGATGCAAACATGGAAAACGATGGAAGTATTGGGAGGTTCAGAGCACGAAGAAACCTTTTTGGTTTTGGACAACATAATCCCTTGACATCAAGGCTCAGGTCTCCTTGTCTCAGCTGTGCAGCTGGGAAAAGTGACACTGGATAAGATCCCTTACATTTTTGAAGCAGACATGATTACAGTTTGAAGGCAACAGTGAGATCCTCCAGACAAGATGTACCTGAGCCCTTGTGATAAAACATTTATCCTGGTGATACCCCGGGGTGAGCGTCAGAGCTCACAGATCCACAGCCCTTAATTGCTGGGAATGCAGCGCTGGAATGAGTGGGAAAGTACAGGAATGAAGGGGAATAGTATTTCAGCCCAGGTTTGACAGCTCCAGGGGCTGCAATGGGACCGCTGTGCGTTCCTCTCTCAGAAAACAGCCCTCACATTTCGGGGCCTAAATATAGGCCGGGCAGCGTAACCGGTGACATTCATTACTAAAAGTCTTGGCTGTGCACCTTGGTCTGTAACAAGTGGCTGATCACCCTGACAGACCCAAACCTGACACATGAACCCTGACAATAGAACATGCAAACCACAACAGCCCTGTTCAGGGACATCACTAGGACTTGCTTCGAGTCTTTTTTCAATGTGACAATAGAAAGAAACTATTCACTAAGCCACTTGAAAAAAACTCAATTATATTTTGTGTGAGGGTTTGCCAGTGGAATTCAAAATAACCCAGCTCATCTAAAGGTCTTTCCAGATTGCTCAGGGTAGGAGACCTTTGCGTAGAGAAATCCTAATTTCCAGAAAGAAATGCCAGCCTTTGTGGTGCCCGAGTGTGAAGGTTTGCTGGAACGTGGGGAGCAGCCGTGTGAACTCCAGGCATCGCCTTCCTTTATTCCTTCCCTTTCTACCAAGTACTGCGGGATTTTCACTGGAGCACTTGGTCCTGCCTGCCACAGGAATGAAGCTGGATCACAATTCCAGCCAGGACAAATCAGAGCCATCCCAAGGCTGCTCCAGGTGCTGTGCTGTCCCGCTGATCCCCAGGAATCCTCACCCAGAGGTGAGGCTGGAGCTGCTCGTTTGCCCCCGGCACACAGCACATGTTCTCACACATTTGGTCTCAAAAATACCCTTTCTTGTAAAAATAGAGTTTTCAAAGTAATCATCAGAAGATTTTATGTCTTTTCTAATAAGTTTTTCTTTACTATTTATAATGATGACTGGAAAGAATGTAACTTAATAACTTTGTTAAAAACCCCACAACTTTCTATTTTTAGAGAAGAAAATTAACTTTTCACATTCCTAAGAAGTGACTCCACGGAACAGAGAGTTTATATTCAATAAAGAGGGTCTGAATTAAGACATTTTTTGTTCAATACGTTGCTAGGAAAGTGCTGGTCTATTTATGGTTCATTTTTACTCCGTTTACATTCCAGTGCCTGCTGAAAAATACATTCAGGTTCTAAAGGGATGTCTAGAGACGAATGTTACTGTCTCATTTTATATTTTGCAAAGATCTCTCTGTTGAACTTTGCTGTAATTCATTTAAATGAGATGGGTCTGTGACCTCTCAGAAAGGTCAGAACTGTGTCTGGTCCCTGTGGGAGGATCATTTCCACAGCCGGGGAGTGAAACGGGGACAGTGGAGAGGGGTAACACTGTGTTCACATTCCCCTCACCATACCTGGAATTGCAGAGCTGGGCTCATGCTCCATTCCAGCAGTGGGCTCTGATGGCTGGTCCATGGGAACATTCACATCCTGGATGTTCATTTCCCAAGTATTTTTTTGCTCAGCATTTGAGAACCAACCCAGCATCCCCATTCCCCACGGCTGCAGAAGGGCCGTGCCTGATGTCTGACCCTGCTGCCTGAGCTGCTCCTCATCCTCATCCATATTCACATCATCAGTAGGGTTCTTCCCTTTTCATCCTTCTGCTTAATTTTGCTGTTTCCTTGTCCTTCCTTAGACAAATCCTTTATTTCCTACAGCCTTCCAATATTTTGTGAGATGGGATAACATTCTCTCTCCTCATCCTTCTCTTCTCCCACCCAAATGTTTGTACTGTCGATTCTTTCCTTGCTCTTATTTTCTGACCCAGTGTTTGAGCATTCTCATGCCTCAGATCCTTGCAGGAGGTCTCTGTGATGGGTATTAATCCAGTCCTTCACTGCCTGGTGGTCTCTGCCTCACGTTCTAGAACATGGAGATGCAGCTCCACTGGTACCAGTGCAAGGGGCTTCGGGACAACCTGTGGGTCAGGAAGGATCTGAGGGAGGAAGGCAACCTCATCTGTGTCTCCTGAGGGAATCCCTGGAGTTTTCTCACTGTTTGACACATCTCTATCTCCTTCCAGAGCCTGTAAAATGTTACTGGTCCACTACTGCCTTTTTCACCCCATGAGTGAAGAAATTGCTTCTGATGACACCGAATGACATTTGACTCCTTACACTGACAGATAAAACAATTCTTCCCTCATTGCTACCACTGCAAGAGAAAGGTCCAGAAATGACTCTTGAAAGGTAGAAGTCCTAAGAGGACAGATATCTTGGAAAGGCAATTTATTTTTCCCTCTCCTTTGAGAAGTGCCAGACAACTCCCGATTCCCTTTTCCTATTGTGACGTCAGAACGCTGGAAATCCCGAAGCTTTCAAACGGAATGTAAAATCATTATTAACTATCTAATTAAGCAGTTCCACCTTTGCTTTGCCACTTGGTCATGTTTTTAACTTATTTTGTGAATGGGACAATTTTGTGCAGCACTTTGGCACGCTGTACAGGAGCCTGGAGGAGAGGAACAGCTCTGACACAACAGACACAGATATCTGTCCTGTCACTGGAACAGAGAGATGGAAGAGGCCTCACATCAAGGAATTATGTTGCTGTGGCCTTTTAAAGTCCAAGCAATCAATCAACACCAGTTTCAGCTTCATTATTTTGCTGGCAGCAAGGAGCTATGATTTATTTTTTTTTTATGGAAAAAAGAATTTCTATTTCCTGCAAAATTCTAAAATGTTGAAAAACTAATTATGAAGAATAAATCTCAGGGATTTTGACACTTTTACCAAATGAATGCTATAAATGTTTTGGATTTTCCTGATGCTTAATTCTGATGGGGCTGAACCAGCTTGTTGACTTGTTGCCTGAATTTCATTTCAACTTTTATGTTGTATTAGAAGACTGAATATACACAAATTTTTAACAGGATACTTTTACAAAAATATTTAGTAAAGTGTAAAAAATCTCTACGACATGGTAATATTTAGACTTCTTAGCACAGATAATTAATCCAAAATATCTCATTCTCAGAAAACATTTCCATCTTTGGCAGGGCTAAAAGTACACCAAAAATAATCAGCATCTCAATTTATAGTATTTCCTGCTGCTCTGCCTGCCAGACAAAGGTGAGGGGTCCTGAAAAGAATCACAGGATGAAGCAAATGGCTTTATGCTGGAGTAAATGAAACTGAGGGTAACCATGGAGGTTCATGGGCTGGTCAATTAAACCTCTCTCTGGGGCTGAGAATCTCCAGTGGGAAGGGATAACCTCCTGGAATGCCTGAGAGAACTTGTAGGTTTACAGCAGTATAGGCTGAAATCCGAGCTGCTTATTTTTAGATTATTACAGCATTTCTAAATTTATCAGGTGAACTCCTCCAGTTCAAATGCCAGTGAGAAAATTCCTCACTCCAGCCTCAGTTTGTGGACATCCCTTCATCCCACCGAGGGAACGCGCCGATGGACTCACCGCATCGCCTTCCGTCGCTCCTGGGGGTCTGGGGACACGTAGGCCTTCATTTCCTCCTTAGCCCTCTGCAGCTGCACCTCCAGGCTCTATAAAAATACATCATTTAAATATATTTGTGCATATAAATATTGCAATCTTACCCCACAGTGAATAATTCAGCCCCTCTCGTGGCCTTACCCTTTTCATGCAGTGAATGTAGCGGTAGTTGCTCTCCTCCTGGGCACACTCCTCGAGGAGCCCTTTCACTTCCTGTGGGAGAAGAAGATTCCAAAGGCCATGGTGACTGAAAGCCCCCAGGAGATGCCCTGTGTTGCCATATAAACCGGGAGAGTTTATAAGAATAATCCTGAGTTAATAATTTCTCAGATGTTCCCATAGTTTGGGCTTTTCAGAAGTCTCTTTTAAAGTGAAATACAGCTGATTGGGTTTAGATTTGCGGTTCCAGTTGCAGTCAGAGATGAGAAATGACTGTTAATGGGTGATTAATAATGATTGACTTCCAAACACTTCACAAGTGCTGCCAAGACTCTTGTTCCTCAGCACATCTGAAGTGCCAAATACAGCTGTGAACAAGCATTTCCTGGAACACATCTGCAAAAGGGATATTAGAAGGTACAGACATGCTAATGGTATGTTAATGAGCAATCAGTAATTATGTGGAGCACTGTGGAGATAGTGGGTTACTCCCACCTCTACATGGTCCACTCCAAAAAATAACCCCATTAATCCAAATGGAATTCCTGTTCTCCAGGTCACACTGCAGTTGTCGACTCCCGGGCTCTGTCACTGTGTGATTTTCACACCATCAGCTGGAAAACTGAATTCTACTCATGTCCAGCTCAATCAGTGGATGTGACTGTCATCATGTGTCAGAAAATGACTAAGAGTTGTCTGCCAAGGAAAAAAGCCTTGATTGCTGTCATAAGCCAGTTCTTATGGAAGATTGACTTCAGAGCAGCTCCATCTGTGGATTCTTTTACCGTACAAAGGTACTTTTAGTGCAGGAAAATAACTATGTATGCGTCCACCCACACTTTAAATGCACTCCCTTTTTATCTTGAAGTCTCTTCCTTTGTGGGCAAGGCCTTGAAAAGCCAAGCCCAGTCAAAATTCACAGGAGGTGATCAAGTGAGATAAAGCAGATCCACATAAACATGTGGATCCTGTGCCCACCTTTGAGGACTAGGCTGTTTTAAGAGCCTCCTTCAGGCAATGCACAAATTACAAACACAAAAGCTCTTAGCTAAACCTCTATGGGTTTATTTTAAAACCCCTGTTGTATACAGGAATGCAAGACAGTCCCATTTAATGAGTTCTCCTTGCCATCTATGTCAGTCATTAATTATCCCTGCGACTGGTTCCTAATGCAAAGAATCTGCTAAATGCATAGAAAGATTTGTCTTGATAAATTAATCCTTATTTTGTAGTCAAATTCTTCCCTAACAGATCCTATCTAGAGCAGCAGGAATTCTGGCAGATGCCTGTCCTTGCTCATCAAAGCTGGATGAGGTACCCCCCAGTCCATCTGCTCTGTGTGACTGCGGCCACTCCACAGCAGCCTCAGGCAGGATTTGCAAAGCTGGGGATCACCACTGACTCATTCCCCTCCTGGAGGGGATTTGCACTTCCCATATCCTGAGGGAAAGCAGGGGGAATGTTGTACCACGTGCATGACCAAGCCCCACCTCACCTGTTCGAGCGCCGAGCGATTGCTCTCCAGCCCGGCCGCGCAACTGTCGTACTGGATTTTCTTCTCGTCGCGTTCCTGAGTTAATTCCTGAGGTGAAAAGGGCAAAAGGGCACATAAATGAAATGTTCCTTAGACTTGACACGTGACACTCAGGCCAGAGACACTCAGGGAATTTCCTCTGTCCAGCCCCATCCATGGCTTTACCGTGGCGGGGTAACAGGGCCGTGCTTGCAAGAAGAAAGGACGAGTAATTATAAAAATAGACATTAAGACAGGATCAAATTACTTGCTCCCTACGAAAAGCCAGATTTCTAGTTGTGCACACCCAACTCCTTCCCTGGATTTCATTTGCTGACACTTTGAATGGAACTGTTAAAAGGTTCTCGGGGAATTTTGTTGATAGATAAGAGGCATCACCCTCTTTCCTTCCCTGGCAATGAGCCAGGTTATGGCAGCTGTAGACCCAAAAGACTTGTTTTTTTCAGCTCTCTGTAAAATTTTGAAAGCAAATGGATAAATTTGTCGGTCTCACAGGACTTAGATCAATGCATTCAACTATTTGAATGAGATGTTATCTGCAAACCATTCAGAAAGGAGAGCACTGGTTGGGATCATTAATGCTGAGATGCAGAAATAGCTTTGGAACCAACCCAAAACTAACTTTGCTTTGGGTTTGAACCACGATTTCTTAAATTTTCCCTGGTGTAGTAATTTTATAAACTGCTATAATGGCCTAAATTCTGTGCTTGCACTGTCAGCTTGTCCACATTCCAACCTTTAGCACGTTGCCTGTTGCAAACACTGCTGACCCATTCTGCTCTTCCCAGCTTTCCCTCAGAGTTATGTCCCTGTAGAGCACTACAGAGACCTGTAAATTGGACTTATTTGTGGTTCTGAGTTGATTTACACAGACAGAGAGGAGCGTTGGGACAAACCTGGCACTTCTGCCGCAGCTGCCTGAGCTCTTTGATGACAGGAGCAAGGCTTGCCTTCTTCTCTGCCACCACTGCATTCAGCTTCTTTACCTGGGAAACGGGAAAAAGAACATTCCTTAACACTGAAAAGTGTATTCATGTGATTGGGGATATGAAAGGAGAGGGGAGACAAACTGAAATGTGGGGAGAAAAAAATCTGCCATGAAGCCATAATTATGTGTGAATTAAATAGAAACGAAGCCTTAATTACATAACCAAAGTTCAGGTCTAATTAGGACAGGGAAAGAGCCCATCTGGCAGGGGGGTCATTCCCAAAAATGAGACAAATTCTGCTCCCAGGACATCCCAGAGAATTCCAGGAGCCAGCCCATGTGCCAGATGGGCTCAAGGAGTAGGGAAAATGAAGGAATTGCACAGAGGGAGAGTGAAAGCAAGGGAGAAATCCTTAAGAAAACAAACAAACAAACCTGCATAGGTTATATAAAGCTTGGAAATGCTAAAACTGAGGCACACAGACATATTTATACTGAAAATTCAAATTTTATCCAGCTTTCTCTTTGAGAGCAACTCTAATTATACCATTTTATTTTAAAAGTGCCCTAATGATTTAAAAAAATGCTATTTTGCTCTTTGCTCTTTTATAATATTTTCAAATTAGAAATTCAAGTTCTTTCTTGCCTCTACAGCTATGTGGGCAGGTAAATTAAAACATGACAGATCTAAGGGCAATTGAAAATCAGGCTATAGAGAAAAAGACAAGTTATTAAGCTCTTTAAGCATATTAAGTATCTTCTTAACAAAAGCTGAACTCCAGTGATTTACAAACATTTTAGAAAAAGATTCTGTTACGGATTCAAACCATTCATCTCTTTCAAATAACGTGCAAGAACAAACATGAAACCACCTCTGAAATCACAAAAAAAGTGAAAAATCAAAGACAGCAAGACTTGATATCCCTGATGTTTCTGAAGGGGAGAAAGGAGGATTTATTTGTAGGTTGCTTTTTTTATATATAGTTCTTCTTCGTACATTAAAAGAAATGTACATTTTAGTAAAGTTTGTCTAGATTTCCTTTGCAGGTTTATCTGAAATGCTTATATATATATAAACACAGATTAAAGGAAGATTATAAACCCCCCAAAGACCATTAAACTTGGGGTTATATTCTGAGGAACCAGATGTTCAAACTGAGCAAATACAGTAGTTTAAGACAAAAATCACCATTTCAGACATATTATCTAATGTCTGGCCTTTCATTTCATCTATTTCACTCTTCACTGCAGAGACTTTTTCCAGCTCCTCCTGGGTGTAACTGTATCCAGGAATGCCTTTTTTCTCTTCAATCATTTGCTGCAGACACAAACAAGAAATGCTGAATTAACCCCACTAACCAAGAAACAGCAAACTCCTTAGTGAAGCCACAATATTGTAAAGAAGTGAAAAGTGTAAGTACTGCAATCAATTTATTTACCAATTTATTATTATTAACCAATTATTATTAATCTAGCTGCCAGAAAAACTAATCATCTCTTGCCTGTCAAGCAGGACAACAACAACTCCCTGTAAATACAATGTTTGGTCATCCTGTGCCCACTGAAGTGAACAGGAAGTTTCCACAAAGCAAAGTAGGTTTGTGGTCAGGCTCTGAAGCAGCTCAGTGTATCAAATCCAGATGCTTCATCAGAACATGTAGCTAATTATTTTATAAACTATTTTGATAATGAGAACACAGGTGTTGGAAGAAAACACCACAGCCAGTGTTCCTGCATTTGGGATGAATGGATATTCCCTGAATGCTTACAGTTACCCAGAGCAGAAATCCTGCTGCTGCTGCTGTTCTGGCTTAGCAAACATTCATCCAGTTTTAAATTTAAATGCATTTTCTTCTAAATATTCTGGGGCTGGAATGTTTCCTTCCTGCCTGCTCTTTTTTTAAATACTATTCCTATATATTTAACAGCAGTAACTTGAATCCTACTCCCTGTTGATCGTTTTCAAAGCCCTTACTACATCTGTGGATACCAAAAACTAATTTAAGAACCCAGCCTTGCTCTAAGTGGAGTTCATGCACATCTTCCATTGACTTTAAAAAGCAGGGTCAAGCCCCTCAGTCTAAAAAGAAACTGCAGATCAGTGCTGACAGTTGCTGAACACGAAGTGCAGCAGCTCCAGAGTCAACAGATAAAAATACATTCTATACCCCGCCGGCCCTGGGTCACAGCAGACGATGGGGACGATGCAGAGCAGAATCCCACCAGCATCCGTGGGATCCTGTGCCTGTTGGCAGGGAAGGGAGGGCTGTGGGAGCAGCGCACGCTCATGTTACCAACTGCTGCTGAATGGCCTCGTGGCGCTGCTTCAGAAGCTCCTCTGTCCTCTGGAGGATTCCGTACTCAGCTGTGATTTCTGCTATTTCCAGGCGCTTCTTTTTATACAGGGTGTTCTTGCTGCGGAGTTTACTGACGTACTGCTTCACCTGGGGGGAGAGAGGACACAGACTCCTCTCACTGAGGGCAAGGAGGGCCTTACCACAGCCTGCTGCTGTGTAAAATGTCATTCTCCTCCTTGGCCTGCACGTTGAGAGAACAGGGGGCTGGAATTCAGCATTCCCAGGCTCTATTTATTTTCAGCTCTGCATTTGTTCACCAGGTGAAATCAAAAGAACCAGCGTTGCTTTCTGTCCCAGCGTGCTCATCTGTAATCCCGAGATCACTCCCTTCTGCTCCCCACCATTTGACAGCTGGAAAAGTTAAATACTCTTTGCAGAACCTTACGAGAATCACGGATAATAAAAAAGTTAATGCAACAGTAATTTGCACTTGTAGCAGAGCCCCAGAGCTCTGCAGACCAAAACATGGCAACAGAGTGCAGGAAAATTGGAAGGGAAGAGGGCATGGGAAAAACTGTCTTGAAATGTTCTCAATAGTTAAAACTTGTTCTCTCCCCTTGACTCTTGCAGATCTAAACATCACTGGCTCAGTTTATTGAACCAGGCAAATAAAAGCAGAACCCTTGCACTGAAGCAGAGAATGCAATACCTATTCCACTCAAAATCTAATGTAATGGAGAGTTTATATTTTTATTAAAGACTAAGTAAAATACTACAAATACTTATAGACCAAGAGCCTCAGCTAATTTACACCTGAACCTGTGTGTGTTGAACTTGGAACACAGACCAAGTACCAGGGGCTGAAAAGACCAGGTAATATTTTTCTCTGTCTTAATATTTTCCATCTGTCATACAGGCTTAGCTCTTACTCGTGGATTTTACATGACAGCTCCGAGGTAAATGCCAGTCACAGCTTAGAAATGCACTCAGATCCAGAGATGGAAAGCAAATAAAATTTATTAGAGCAAATGATGTAAGAACAGGCTTCAGATCAGCCCTTGACGAGGAGGGTTCAGTGTGTGTAGGGGGCACAAGCCAGGAAGCCCCAGGAGGAAAAAGAATCCCATTACCACTGACACAGGTTCAAAATTCAAACATAAAACGACTTAGATTTTGATATTTACATGAATTCTTCTTCTTTTTGCAAAATTATCCCCTCTCCCTTCTAAAGAATAAATCCAAAAAACCCCCAATGTGACCACAGGCTAAGAACCCCCAGAGTAACTGTATGTTCTATAAAAAGTGTCCTGGGCAAGGTGCCCACAATGAAATCAACCCTGTTCATCTGCCATCCTGTGCAATATCTAGGCCAAAGCTGCCTCTCTCTTGCTACGCTCCAGGACTATTTTTAAAGCCAAAAGCTATAAACGTTTTTGGTGAAAGAACAAACCCACAAATTACTCCATGTGCTCTATGCAGATTGGCCTCTGTGTGGCTTTGGGATAACATCCTACATCCTGCTACTACCCAGGACAAGGATACACAAGGTCACCTGAGCCCCAGCGTGGCCGAGGCAGCTCCGCCACTGCCACACTCTTTATTTTTACTTCACACACTCAAACCAGAACTTTATTCCTTTTCCCAGCAAATTCAAGGTATTCTCTTAGTTAATACAAAAAACTTCTCTTTTTTTTTTAATTGCTTAGACAATACCAAGTTTTCTGTGATTTCCAACAGATTCCAAAAGTATAAATGCAAGCTCTCCAACTGAGGAAAATCAAAACAAAGCACAGTCCTGACCAAGCAGTTCCTGAGATATTTCATCTGACCAGTGGAACATAGTAAAGGATGATGTAAAAGATTAAACTTTATATGTGGCCACTCAGAGCTATGGGATCTGAACGATTTTCTGTCAGTGGATCCCAGGATGAAAAGCAAACTATTATTGTCTTCTCTTCTATAGCTACTTCTAAGGTCTTGAAAATAGCTCGAGTGGGAGGGAGAGTATTTGCATATTCAGTATTCAAAGCATAATGTATTTTACAATGGAAGTCAGAGGATCTCGTTGATTAACAAACCGACTCCACCACTGTTCTATTATTAGTTGATTAACTTAGGACTGTATAATACAAATTTTATCCAAGATGGACTACAGGTTGCTCACGGTGACAAGTGAAGCCTGTTCAGTTTAGGAGGTGGATGTCAGTCCTTCAGCACAACCTCTGGCTTTTTAAAAGCCAACTTCACCTCTCACACAGCTATTATTGCAGCAAACAAGGTAAAACAAGATAAAAACAATGGTAGCAAAATGATAATCTCTGTAGAAAATCAATCAATAATTTGGCAGAGCTTTCAAAAGACCTGATCTACTCCAGAGGCAGCACACATTAGTCCCTTAAAAACTCTCTGAATGAAGGCTCCTTTAGATCCAGGGCCAAATTCTGAGCTGGAATTCTTAGATTTTACTTCACTTAAATCAGCAGCTTGTAGGGATCTTATGACAAAATTAGGTTTCTTCAGTCTAAAAGCTGAGAACCATTCTGTAGGTTTCTAAAAATTAAAAGAGGGCTCCTTGTCAAAATACCAGTGTTTTCATTTGTGCCAGCATTGCTTCTCAGGCTTTATAAATCTCCTGCCCCCACCTCTGTGGAGATGAAAAACTCAAGCCCTTACAATGCTGTGAACCATTGCATTTCACTGTGGTAAAAGGTCTCTTAAATAACTTGAAGAGTTCTCAAAGGAACAAACAACACTGTTTGGCCACATCACTTTAAGTAACCCAAGGAATCCACTTTTGAGCAGCAGCATTTTCCCATAGACCAGCTCAGCTGCTCCCCGTGCCCAAACTCAGCAGGCTCATCCTCCAGAATTCCCAGGGATCTGCCCATGCCTGCAGAGATATTCCAGTCAAGGCCACATCCACCAGTAGCTTTTCTTTCTCTCGAGTCATTTAACACAAACAGTTATTTGAGCTTCAAAGATTAAGTGACTGGACAAGACCCAAGTGCTGGCACTGAGTGAGCAGTGGAAGGAAACCAGCCTGGAGCCCCTGATCAACTCAGAGCCCCCGGAGACACAAAAACCATCCCAAGCAAAGCAAGGAAAGATTCTGCTTTTTCACTTGGCTGTTTTTATGGGTGAGCGTAACATAACAAGTGTGGGGTGTGGGTTATGGAATACCCTGACTGGAAGCAGGATTTTGATCTCTCACATATCTCACAGGTATCCACCCCCCCTGGGCAGATTTCTGTGTTCCATTTTTACTGGAAGAATCCAGCAATGCACCTCCTTTATGCTTTTCTCCATTATCCATTATTATTCTTCACCACACTTAGTGAGGTTATTAAATATGACAACAGTTCTAAACAGGGCAAAATCAAATCAGGGATGTTGAGATGGCTTCTCCAGGACCACCCAGAGCCTGGCAGGATCCCCCTCCAGGGAAGGACATCAGCCTGTGCTTTACTGGACTGAACTGGGATCCCCACCCAGCCCCTCTAATGCTCAGCCTGGTGCTTTCACTACAAGCCCATCACCTCTTCAAAACTCCCATTTGCTCCTTGTGAAGTTTTCACAAGGTTCTTACCCAGAGATTATCATTAAAGGACAAAATGGATAAGCCTGTTTTCTGAAAAGAACAAATCCCAGATAAATCCCTCACTTTGGAGTCAAATCTTTTAAAATATTATTTGCTGGATTAATGCAGCAATTTGACTGTGTTATTGTAATCAAAATATTTCATACAAAAGCACTACAGAAAAAAAGTATTGTTTGTAAAAAAAAAAGGTATTATTTGTAAAAAACCCCCAGTATTTCTTTATGAGATACATAACCAAAGTTCTGAATAACCAGTTTTGTTCATCAAATTATTTGCATAAGCACAATAACTGAAGAAAATCTTAGCAGACTATCTCTATTTTCATTAAGAACTGAGGAACAGATGTTTTAATTTCTAACCAGACTAATTAACAGGATACAGACTGTCCAAAGTATTAAAATTCAGTTAGGAAAAGTTCCTGATCGTGACAGTTTTCCATATTTTTTCCTAAGAGGCTCCAAATTTAAGCCAGTACAGCCACTGTTGGGCAGAGTTAATAACTCATACACAGGATGGGCTTCTAAAAGGCACAAGCAGCAGGAACTCAGTGTATTCAAACAAAAGTGTTTGTGGCACAGCTCAGCCAGGAAAACTCTTCCTCAGCATTCAGCAGTCCATGTGTAAGGAGCCCCTGATGGACTGGAATGGAACTGTCCAGAGCCTGAGTGAGAGCTGAGAGAAAGGCAACAATTGACAGGACAATATTTCCTGGGTCCTGGCTCAAACCAGCCCACACTGACGGAGAGAGACCATTTACAAAGGCCTGGAGTGACAGGACAAGGGGGAATGGCTTCCCACTGACAGAGAGAAGGATTAGATGAGATATTGGGAAGAAACTGGTAGGGAGGCCCCGGCACAGGTTGCCCAGAGAAGCTGTGGCTGCCCTGGATCCCTGGAAGTGTCCAAGGCCAGGCTGGAGGGGGCTTGGAGCAACCTGGAATAGTGGAAGATGTCCCTGCCCATGGCAGGGGGTGGGACTGGATGAGCTTTAAGGTCCCTTCCAACCCAAACCGTTCTGGGATTCTCTGACTCTCTGAACATTTGAGTCATGAGCTCCTTTACAGCTACTGTGATTAAAATCCACCCACCCAGTCTGGAGTGAGATAACTATTCCTGATGGATTCAGGTGAATGGACAGTTTTTGAGAGGTGTGAGGCTGTTTTCTCTGTTTGCAAATTGAAACACTTTTCCCCGTGTTTTCCAAGGGGCAGGTTGGCATGGCCAAACATTTGTATGGAAAAACAATTAAACTCCTTATGTAAATGAACATTCCAACCTCACACAGCTGTTACAAAGTGAGAGGACCTTCTCTGCCACACTCTCAAACCCAGATTCATCTCAGCTCCTGCGGCTCAGCACAGCTCTGAGACTGCTCTACTCCCATCCCTTGGGCAGCTCGAGGTTCTTGGGGCCACGTGCTCAACTCTGAAAAGTACAATGGGTTGTGTAAAGAGCTAAAAATATCCCAGCTTGACCCAGGATCGCTTGCAATCGAACCATCCAGCCATCCAACTGTCAACATGTGAGTCCCCAATTTTCAGGGTCTGACAGCTGCAGGGAGGAGCCGCCAACTGTGCCCCTGCTCAGTGCACTTGGCTTCAAGTGCTTCAAAAGATTTCACAATCCCCAAAGCAGACAATTTATTCCCATTTTTTTGGTGTGTTTGATGTAAATGAATTGGTTATTCCCTGCTGTTCCTTCTGAGTTCTATCCAGGTGTACAACCTCTGGAACCCTGTGGAATGCTGTAACATTCCTTTTTGTGACTATGGAAGAAAGCAAAAGGCTGGCAGCTAAAAGAGCTAAGCCAGGATTGACCTTTTGGTGATTGAAGGGCTAAGAAGACCTCAACTGGAGAGCCAAACGCTGGTTTGGGAGCAAAGGTGCTGATTCTTCCACTGCCAAGTCTTGGGAGTGCCACAAGGTAAGAGGAGAGAGCGAGGTGAGACAAAGAGATTAGAAACAACAGGCACAGGAGAAATATGATGCCTTGATTTCCCTGTAATGTTTAGATGAGATTAAAAAATCCATTAAAAAATCCATTTAAGACAGCAAAGCTATTTGTTAAAAAGCCTCTTTCTCCCTTTTAACAATGGAGGAACCGAACGTAAAGCGTGTGTGGCTGCAACAGGAAAGCGAAGGGAAGGTTCTGGTTGTCAGAGTGCAAAGTGAAGGGTGAATGTCCAGCAGGATCCATGGATTGCCACAGTGACTCACCAGGGCTTTAGTCAACATCTGCCCTGGTATTGGCTCAAAGCTGCAGAAACAGAGCACTGAACCAGAACACACAAATCCTAAAGCAGAACGTGTCAGACACTGATCTACAGCAAAAGGTTGGGAGTGAGGAACCGAGGCTGGCACTGATGAGGCAAGACCTGCTCACATCACTTCAGCTCCATCACCCCTTCCCTCCCATCCATCATGTCCTGGCTTCCCACACCACAGGACTGACTCTGTAACGTGCATTTGCAAGGTACTTCGAGGAGATGCAAAACCCACAGCACAAGGCCCTGAGCAGCATTTCTGGCAGCAAACATTTCCAAAGGAATTAAATATCACTGTCTGCATTTTACAGATGGGGAAACCACGGCCTTTGAAAAAGCAGCCACCAAAAATCATCAAGAATTCAACTCCTTTCCTAGTTTTTAGCCACAGGAAACACCCTTTTTACTGCTCTACACTGGTGCCTGTGAGTACCACACTGCACTACACCCAAGGAAGTAATAAAAAGAGAACAGGACATGGATGTATATATTGGCTTCCTAGTCAATATATATTTCCTTGAAGAAAGTATTTTACAAACCAGGAAATGCCTGTAATGGAAAGACAAACACTCCTGATTTTAAGCTGATGGTTTTCTGCAAATTGCTCAGTCATTTATCCTTCACTCTGCAAAATGAAGGTATTTTAAAATGGAAAATATTTTAAAAATCAAAAGCAGAACATATTTGAGCAAAAGGAACACAGGTCATGTCCAAAATAGGTCTTGTCCTTTTCCTGTCTGGAGTCTTTTCCTTGTATCAGACAATTAACTTGAATTTTTCATTATTAAGCATTTTACAAGGTTCCTCCTTCTGAGGTTTCCCTCCTACCCTGTTTTCCTTGAATTTCTATGGATCAGAGTTTCCTGTCCCCCTCAATAATAGGCACAACAGGAATTATTTCTTACCTTCCTATGTGTGCAGATAATGTAAAACATATGCTGCTGTCTTGGTAATGCATTCTTGTTGATTAATTAAACACTTCTTTCCATCACATGTCACGAAACACAGATTGTCAGGTTTCTGCTTTTATTTTTGCTTAAAAAGTTGTCAAAGACTCCAGCAATGTGCCCACTGGGGGCTGAAAAACTTGGAGAGAAATCTAATCCAGTGGGTTTCTTATAATTGCTGCCTAAGAAACGTGATACAGTCTGTGATGGGAAGAGAAATCAACATCTCAATTTTTCCAAGTCCCTGGGCCATTACTTCCACCTGTAGTTTTCATCCATAAACTCACTTTACTCCTCAAGACTCCTCTTAAAACAAAAGTGGTTTTGTGGAGCAGGAATGTCCTATGGGATTAGGAAGGGAGTTCCTTCTACAAAGGGTGTTTCCTGTATTGAGTAGTAAGTTAAAAAAGCACAAAACCAAAGAAAAAAGCAAGCAAAGAGTGTGTTCCTCTGGATAAATGATGGCAGGGCAAACAAGGGCAATATGTGAGAGAATGAAAAGATATATTAAGTCAGAGAATGAGGCAGCTGAAATACTCTTCAGTTTAGTGACTCTGCCTGTGAGTGCCCTCAGCAGCTTCTCCCAAACTGGGGAAAATTATTGGCTGGAGAGAAGTCAATTTATTTTGATGACAAGCCACTACCAAGCTGCAGCTCCTTTTTTCTGTGCAAACTTTTGCAGCAGAAAAAGTTGGAAAAAAAAAAAAAAAAGAGGGTCTGGGAAATCTGCTTATTAAGGAAACACTTTTGTGGAAAATAAATCCCACAGGACTAACTGATAAGTACTGATATTATGCTTTATAGAGACTTTATATATGATTTATAATCATAATGACTTTGTAGTTAGTTATTTCCCATGATATCACTGTGATGATATTTTGATCCAGAGTCTGCAATGTTAGGACAGCCCAACAGACCTTGCAATGGATGAGGTACAATGTGAATAATTGGAACTAATAATTTGAAAATTAGCTACAAAGCCAGTGCTGTTGCAGTATAAATATTGGGTAGCATTTGGAAGCGCTGGACAGCACTGTATTATCTGCACATTAAAAAAAGAAGTCTTCAGATATGTTAATTTTGGAATTTGACAACAACAAAACGTGCATTGAGAAAACTAGAGGCCGATCTGTGGCAATGGTGGGGTCTGACCATGGTACCATAAAAATGGGTGAGGTGCTGTGGAAGGAGCAACTGTAACAAAATCTCTTTAAAAATCCCCTCTTCCCTTGTCTCCACTGTTTCATCCCATACCTCATCCTCTGTCAGGATTTCTGAGCCCTCCAGCTCGTGGGTCTGACTGCTCCTCTGCTGCACCTGCCTCTCCAGCCTGGTCATCTCTTCCTTGGCAGCCTGGAGTTCTTCTGCCTTGGCTTCCTTTTTCCGGGAAATTATAGATGCCTGCAGGACCAGGAAAGTCAGAATTGCCTTGTTTAATCAGCAGCAAATTGGAACCCATCAGGTTTCAGGCCCTGCCCCACTGAAACCACATTTGAACTGCCAGGAACTGATTTTCCTCAGGAAATGTGAGAAAGTCTCACTGCAAAGGAAACACATCAATAGATGTATACATCAAATATATCAATTATATACAGTGGGTTAAACCACAACCTCGTTGGAGTTGGCAGCAGGATCCCAACTTTCTCCAGTGTGGATGAGATTCCCAGCACGCTCTTTTTGCCCAGACTCAAGTGGAAGTGTTTTACATTTCACATTTACATTTCTTCCCCTCATTTTTTCACCTTCATTGAGGAAAAAGGGAGGCATTTTAGCTGCTCCATTTCTCCTGCTGAGTCCCTTTCTGTGCATATGTAAGAGACACCAACATGGCTTAACTGCAAAGTTATCCAAGATTTCACAAATGTCATAATACAGATTTTTATAACTCCAACCTACTCCAACCTACAGAAATATGTTACACTAAAGCAGAACTGAGCCACTAAATCTTGCAAATAGCTGGAAGATGATGAATAAAGCAATACAGCACAGAAATACTGTAGATTACAGATTATAATTTTCTTTTTGAGTCTAGAATATAAAGCATTTGAAAAATATTTTATCCAAGACTGCATATTTAATGATACCTGAGTTTTGAGCAGAAGCTGACAGATTTGGGAACATAATATACATCAGTTCAGGGATGATAAAAAAAAAAAAGGATTTTTATCCTGCCCAATTATCCTGTTGAAACATATTTTAAAATAAAACAACAGGTTGATTTAGATGCACGTGCATGAATTTGGAGGCATGGCTGGTTTCCTCAAATGGAAGGGAAAACTCAAAAAAACAAAAATCAAGCCAAAACACACCAGTTTTCTCACACTCAGCTGAAAGGACCAGCTCTATCCCTAAAAATATCTCTGCCAGAGTCGTGCTGGGGTGGGAGCTCAGCCCTGGAGCTCACCAGGGATCTGCAGCGACAAACTGCTACAACAGGGATGGTTATTCTGCAGAACAGAACCAGGTCCTGGCAGAAAAAAAAAGCAAAGACCCCAACTCTGAGCAACCTCAACTCCAGGGGTGGATCCTCCTCTCCAGCACAGCCCACTGGCCTTTGGAACCAGCACATTCCAGAGCAGGAGCTTCTCTGGGGAGAGCATCTCTTCCAAATCAGAATGGTGTGTTTCACACTGAATTTGGGACTGGACTGCATTATACATTTTATCCCGATTTTCCCCTCCCGCTGATGCATTTTGCTTGAGCTTTTTTATTTTTTAAGCTGTCCCTACCAGCAGCATCACGAAAATCTTCCATAAAATCAGCAGCGGTGCAGGATGCCTGGAAAAGGAACCCCTCAGGTTTCTGTGTGAGCTCTGAAAATCTCCTGGCTCATAAATCCTCTTTATAACTTGTCAATTTACTGAGACTAGACCAGACAGCCTATTTTGTAGCAAGATTATTTTATAGCCTCGGGATTAAAAAAAAAATTAAAAAAACCCCAAAGAATTCCTTCTTACTAGATGAAAGGGGGAAAATGGCACGTGGTCAGACACCAGGAGGGGATGGAGCTGCAGCAGGCAGCCTTGTGAGCATCCATCCATCCACAGCTGGGGCTTTACCAAAATAGCTCCTCCAAAATGATCCTTGCAGAGTTGCTGTGCTGCAAGGACAGCAGTCAACACAATTCACCGACACCACTTGACTCAGCCCTCAACGTACACATGTTCGTGGTTTGTTTTGCTTTTTGCCCTCCATTATTAAGCATTTCTGATTTATGCTAAATAAATTTAAGGGGAAGGAAAAAAATCAGCATGTAAAACAATCAGTGACTGACTGATTTTCTCTCCTGCTTCTGCTTAAAACACAATTTGTTCCCTTCTTACCTGCTGGCGATACATGGAAAATTTACTATCTGTTGGCTCATATTTCATCATTCTTTTCTCAATAAGCTGATTCATTTGTGCATTGACTTCATTTATCTGCAAGACAGAGCAGAAAACTCAGGAAAAGGAGCTTGATTTCTTTTTCTTCTCCAAGAATTAAATGCTGTGCAACCCAGATTTACCATCCAGCAAGTTCCTTTTTTTAAAACAGAGAAACAGACCCAAAAAGCTCCGTGAGTCATTAAGTATTGGCCAGGAAGAGGCTGTTTATGGATTTCCAGTTCTGTGCCTTTATGATAAGGCAGAAACACGATGTTGGCCCCGAAAATGAAGTAAACTGGTGCATGTGGAGAGAAAATGCAGAGAACTGGCACAGGAAAAAGACTGATATTGCCACATGCTGAGTGAAAAGTGCCATTTTATCAATATTAACTAAAATTCCTTTCCCTCCAACAGTTTAACCACAAGTTTAAAGGGAAGCAAATAATGCAAATTTCATCAAGACTTTGAGAACTCACAGGCCATCACATTCCAGCTGTGTGGCACCTCTTTCCTCCTGCCACAAGATGCATTTGGTTGTCCCTAATCCCAAAAACTGCTGAGCTTCATTCCAGCCAAAGGTTCAGAGCTGCTGCATCTGGAGCTCCCAGGCACACCAGCCTGCAGATTCCAGCTTTCCCAGTACGCTGGGACTCTCCCCAGCCATGGAAACCACATGGAAACCACGGCCCTGGCAACCTTCCCTTAATTCTCTGCTCTCCAGAGGGGAGCTGATAAGGCAGAAGGGGAAATATGTGCTGAAATCCCCTGGAGTCAAACCCTAACACAGGGACAGTGCTGGGCATCACCCTGACAATCTGGGAGCAATATCCATGTGCCTGGAAAACCAAGTATTGCAAAGGAAGTGCTCAACAGGACTAAAAATACTCCAACACCTGTTAAAAAAAAAATCTCCTGTGAATTCTATTCTATTAGTGGTAGAACAGGCCTGAATTTGAAAATGGCATCAGAATTCCCTTGTGTGAATAAATTCCTGGGTTTTATATTCTAAAATGTGTGATGGTAACATGCTTAGTGCAGTTCAGCTCCTTTTTAAGGCACCTGGATAATAAAAAACTGACTTTAAAAAAAAAAAAATGCTGTCTAAGGCTGTGCTGTGATAACAGCCAAGTGTATGACATGGTTTTATTATCTTTCAAGAAGAAGATACTTCCAAAATATACCAAATCAGAGGTTACCTCATGGAGAAAGAGAAAAAAAAAACCCCTCAGATCCTTTTAAAACATTGCCAAAAACCCCACAATACACTCGGAAAAGAAATGTGCAAAACAGGGTTTCAAGAATGTCTGAAAGACAGAACTGCAGCCACAAACATTGTTTTGATTAGAGGGAATAATCTGGGAAAGCAGAGGCTGAATCACAGAGCTGGGTTATTATTTCAGCCCTAATCTCCCAGTTATTAGTGCTGTCATCCCTAATCATGGATACTCTGATTCCTCCTTATCTCCATCTCACAGCAAAACCTGAGTTGGACATCCTGGGGTATTAAACACCAAAAAGTAGGAAAAGAAGACATTTAGGATGTAGGACCACTCTTCCTCCCTTGTTAATCTCTGGTGTAATCTTCATCATCACCAATAGAAATACTAATAATTAGCATTCCTCTAAATTCTTCTAGAACATAACAGTAAATCTTTCATTTAGGGTTATGCAAACCTGAAAATTTCGTTGAGTGAAATACATAAATGTGCTTGTGTGGCAACAAATCCCTCTGCACATTTTGCACATATCCTACAAACAGGGATTTTTGCTCATTCCAACACCATTTGCTTTTAACTTCTGCAAAAATCCAGAAAGGTAAGTCAAGTATTTGATGCCCAAATTCCCGTTGGTCTTCACAACTAAACCAAACAATGCAGGTCTATTCCAAACACTCAGGAGTTCTGAGCCACTGCACATGGATTAAGGCATCACATTGTGAAGATCCATCACTCAGGGAATGTTGTCCCCCCCATAAACTCTTTGTATGTGTTGGTATAAACAACCCCCCCAGATCTGTGAGAGTTAAAAACAAGTGAAATCTGAATAAAACCAACCCTTTAGTGCTGAATTACCAGCTCTGCTCATACCATTCCAAACTGCCAACACCATTTCCCAAACAGCACCTCAGGATATGATTGGGTTTGGGGTTTGGTTTGGGGTTGGTTTGTTTGCTTGTGTTTGTTTTGTGGGCATTCAAAAAAAAAACCAAACCCAACTTATCTGAGAGTTTGCATTTAGCAATTAAGACAATTATCCCTTGGTTTTACAGCTGAAAGGAGGCTCCTTTGGGATCAAAACAGTTTCTCAAGGGTACAAAGCAGGGATAAGAACACCAGAGTGTCCCAGAAGCTCAGCTCGTGCTCCAGAACACCAATCCGGGGTGACCTCGGTGCCCTCACCTCGCTCTGCAGGGCAGTGAGATCAGACTGAGTCATGGCTGGCTCTGCAAGCACCTTCTGCAGCAGATACACCGAGGCCTTTTTACTCTCCAGCTCTCTGGGCATTTTTTCAGTAACCAGGTAGGAATGGAAATTCATCTCCTCTTCCAGTTTCTTCATTAAACCTTAAAAACAAATGAAATCGGTGCGTGACTATAAAAGCAGGTAATTAAGTTTGATTTCCCCAACACGCTGGAGCTTTGAGCGGTTGATTACAACAACAACAGCACAACATCTGAGTCTTCTTTGCACTGCTCAAAGAAAGGGAGTTACTTGATTTAAATTTTTAATCTGGATGTGAAACAACACAATAGGTGTTACTATGCACCCCTAACATACAACTGTTAACTCCTTGACAGATTCTTTTCATAATAAACAAATAAATCCCTTCTAATCTGAAACTCCAGCTGAATCAGATGCAAAATTCAACACACAGCACTGATATAAAGAGCCATTAAACCTTTATCTGTACAAAAATCTGAATTTGGCCCAGCTCATGTACAGATTTGTTATATCCTTGGAGCTTCTCCCCTAAAATAAAGCTTTTTTTCCATCTGGCATCTGAAAAGGACTCAAAATGGGCACAGTTTAATGGTCTTTTACATTGCTGGGACACTCACAAATTGCCTCCTGTAAATAACCACTATTTTTTCTTATAAGAACAAATGTTTAATGTAAAGAAGCTTATAGACTGAGAATGCAGAAAATAACAGTTAAATATAAAACCCAAGGAGGAATTCCTGAATAATGGCAAAAATTTCTGTTGAGAAAAGCACCCCCATTTACAAGCTTTGCTCTACTCAAGCCTGATGCAACTACACCTTACCATGCAAGACTTGGCTCGTGCTACAGAGTCTCCTTAACAGGTAATTTATAAACAAACCCAAGTACATGCAGATAAGAACAATTCCCAGGTAGAAAAATGCAACAGAATAAAAGGAAACATCTATTTAAATTACACTGCAGAGTCTGCACTGACAACAGGCACTTCAGTGCAATTACTCCTCTGAGACAACTCTTCCCAGGAATTCAGGAGTTGGAAGTTACATGTCAGATGAGAGTGGGAACGGGTATTTCAGAGGATTTTTCATGACCTAGATGACTAAAAGGTAAGTACTCTTGGTTCTTTTGCTGGAGTTGGGGGTTTTTGTTCTCTCCATATTTAGGAGAAGACAGAGTTCCAATGAAATGCCAAGAAAAACAAGAAGTTCACAATTTTCTTCTCTTTCATTTACTGCACAAGCAGAGAAGAGCACAGAGATACAGAAGTACAGCTGATGTTGCTGAAACAGGGATGGGAAAGGATGTAGATGAAAGCAGATTTTGGTTCTCAGGCTAAAGAGCCTGACTGATAAAACAAGGTCAGAACAAAAAAAAAACAGCCCAGGAAAAGGGGCCCCCTTTATTCTGCTGCTCTTCACCTCTCCCACTCTGCCCCCAGAGATCCTCCTCACCCTCTGCTCCCAGCCCAGGCTGCCAGGAAAGCTGCCAGAGGGGAAATAAACCATTAGCTCTTGAGAAAACCTCAAGAACTGGAAGAAAGAAAACAGACCCTGGGGAAAGCAGCGCTGCCAACACAGGCAAGTCAACAGAATCTAAAAATGAGTGGGAATTCCTCTTTTCCAGCAGTTTAGTTTGTTGGTTTCTGTGTTTATGGAAAGCAACACTACAGCAGGACCTTCTCCCCTTCGTGGAGAGGTCATTTATCTCATGCAAAAGAGCCCCCAAAACTGGTTTCAGAGTGGGAAAACCGAGTTCCTCTGTGCATGGAACAGCCATCGTGTCCTTGGCACTGCAGCTGCACCTGAGGAACACCAGGACCGACTGGGAGAGATTTCCCAATTCCTCCTTTCACAAGAACTCCAATCCAATCTTCCTCAGCCCACCACAGAGCTGGGCAGGAGGGACCACATTTTAATGTCTCACTAGAAATCTCCCACCTCTGCAGAAGCAGCCAAGCTGCTTCCCACGTCCCCAGGGAGCTGAATTATCACCTCAGAGCTCACCAGAACACAACTCCCAACCCGGTATTTATAGCCAAGTTCTTTGGTGTGGGGATCAATGTGATATTGATTATTCCGATATGAAATATTAATATTTAATTAAATCAAATGAACTTCTTGGTTTTCTTAGCAGAAAAAAAGTAAATCTGCATAAATAACCTGTACTTTATTTCTTGTGCTGCTCCAGTTCTCTGATCAAAACGTGCAGCCCAAAGGATTTGTTGCAGATATGACAATAAACTCAGCAAAGAACCACAAGAGCTTTGATAAGAGCAGGGACCTTTTGACTTCATGGGCTATAACCTTGATCACTATCTGATTTATTTCCCAAATAACCTCAGAGTTGCTCCCAACTCCTGTCACACCCCGACTGGTTCTTGTGCTTATTCCTGGCATTGCTACGAGCAACAAAGCGAGTTAAAACCTGACACCTTGATGGGGAAAGACGTGATGTCGACATCCCTCATGACTAATGCTTCTTCCCTAAATACATTGGATATATTTTCCATCCTCTTCAATTCAACACAAGGAGAAGTAACTACCTAAAAGCTACTTCTGCTGCTTAACACAGCCTTAAAAACCCAAACATGGAGCAGCTCTTGGTTCGGGGTTTTGGGTTTTTTGTTTTGTTTTGGTTTTTTACAGTGAAAAACATTCTTTGCAAATTCCCAGGCTAAAGAGGAGGGAAAAAAAAAAAAAAAAAAGCCAGCATACCTCAAATCTTTCCATTACACATATAAATTCTGTTTTTAATGTTTCAACATTGACTTACGGTTACAAAACGTACACACGTAAGCGGCCCAGAAATCTGGCCCTGTGCCCTAAGGTTGTTTTAACAAGGCTCTGCCAACCACGCATTTACATGTGCAGAGCTATTCACAGCAACTCCTCATGTTTTCCATTCAAATTTTTTCGTTATTATTATTATTATTATTACAAAGAGAGGGATGGGAGAAAAGAGTTTATTCCTGCTTGCTCGGTCATGTAGACGAGAGGAGACTTTCTCTGCATAATTCTGCTGGTGGACCTAAAACTTGGTTCACCTCATGCTCAGGTTCCCACTTCTTTTCCCACCATGGGGATGCCAACTGCACATTCTGGACCAGAACCATTTGCAACAGGAATTCAGCTTTTAAAAGGGGGAAAAAGAGAGAGGGGCCCTCATTTTACAGATTCTCTGCCAATACTCTATCCAATATCCCATCGGAAGGCCACGACAAAGGCACGTCTGGAACAGACTTCCAACATCAAATCCCTTTCTGCAGGGACTGAAATGATTCCCTCCACAGCTTCCAATGTTAGAAATTTCCAATTTCCCTCTATTAAACAGGGGTTTTAAACAGGGATATTAAACAGAGGCCTGGGACATGCAAACACTGACAGACCAATCACCCCTTCAATATATCCTTGAAAATCTGAAAAGCTTCCTGAATTTGCCACTGTAAATTATGCTTTCCACGTTTATAGTAATTAGTAGAGCTCTTTGAAAGAGCTCTCTGACCTTTCAGAGTTCTTCTGGAGTGTTGAACTGTCACAGGCTGCAGTGATGGACACCTCAGAGCCCGAACCAGGGGCAGGGTGACCCTGCTCTTGCATTTCCTCCCAGAAATAAATGCATGGATATCCCCTCATTTATGACCCTGGGAGCTCCTGTGCCACCATTTTCACACCTGACTCCCAAGCTCTTTGCAGAGTCACTTATTAGGAAAGAGCCTCACATTCCATAAATCCATTGCATGTACATTATTCCTGGAGGAATACCGTGGAATTTGGCTATTCCTTAAAATAGAACCTGTTGGCATGGGCTTGGCTTCCTAAGTGATTCCAGTCCCTTCAAATCAACAGTCTCCTCATTTTTCAGTCACTTCCCTGTTTTTATTTCCCCAGGGATCATTTGCTACTTTCTTGCAGGAATCTGGTGTAAATGCTAAACAGAAAAGAGCCAAACACCCACTGGGTGATGATTCCACTCCTTCCTAAACCTTCCACTAAACTCCTTGGCATCCTTTTAACAGAGGTCACGTTGAATTTTTGCTGCCTTGTTTGTTCTTCAAAATGAAGTGCAAGAGTCAATGACCTTAAAAACACTCCCAGTCTTACCAACCAGACTTGTCATCTCATCAGAGATACCAAATTATCCTAAAAGTGCTTTTACCCCCACCTTGCATTAACTGACAGTCACTTTATAATAAATAAAATCTTTTAAAGATGGAAATAAAGTTCCACCTGAGCCAGTCTCTTTTACCAAATACTTCTAGAACTTTAATTCCAATGTGGTCTGCAGTTTTGGAGGAGATCATTTAACTCTGGAATTTTAGGGAAAGGCGGTTCTGTGGAAAAGAAAAATGTTAATGTTTTCTATCAAATGGAATATTTAAATTATAGCTTGTTAACTTTCTATTTTTCATCAAGAATGAAAGAAAATAGACATCTGTACAAAGCAATTCCTCCTTGAGCGGTGTCTGTGACATTCCCAGCGTCCAAAATCTGTGACTACACACGAACTTCATGAATTTTATAAATTACACACCTCACTGTTTATAAACAATCATTTAACAATTCCTGTAATCAACATTTTCAAGCTACTCATCCACTTTTTTCACATTTTTGCCAATAAAGTGACCAATAATGTCCTGTACAGTGGACAGAGATGAAGAATTTCAGTCACTCAGTTCGTTTCTTCACATTAACAATTTGTGTTTGTGCCAGCAGAGATAATCAAAGCAAAAAGTGGCAATCTTGGAGAGAAAGCACGGGCTGGGTTATGGTTGTTCAAACTGGTGGCCAGTGTTAATAAAAATATTACTCATATCCAGAACAACAACAGAAGAAAACCCTCCAGGATCTGCAAATTCATGTTATTTGGGGCTACCAGCAGCAAATCCCTTTCTAACTGAACAACATCCTAAGTAGTTCTAAGTTAATAAATAGGGAAAGACTGAAGTTAATAAACAGGGAAGGGCTGAAGTTAATAAAGGGAAAGAAAGAAGTTAAAAATCAGGGAAGGTTCTGTGAAACCATCATCCATTTTAGTCTCCAGAACAGCTCACAACAATCAATGATACAATACAAAGTCTCCTAAATATTATGTTTCTAGGAGTTGAGAACCTCCTCACCATAAGCTGTATTTTCCTGGCACATTCAAGCAGGCTGATGCTAATTATATGTTAATGATGCTCAGGAATACATGGGAGTTGCATTCCTTAAAGAGTTCCTTCATATTTCCTCAAAGCACTTCATCCTAAATTAATTATGAAGTGATCAAACCCAGAAGACAAACAACAAAGCTGCTACTCATGAATGACTTTTAACGTTTTATCTTACCTAGGAAGTAAAAGCTGAAGTATTAAGATACTGAAGTATTAAAAATGAAAGACATTTCTTTTAAAGGAAAGGATCTGACTTCCAGTGAAACTCCAGTTGTTGGACTGTCAGCAGACAAACTGCCCTGAGATGAGGAGGCAGCTGAGGTACCAAACTGCAGCCAAAGGGAATTTTCAAACTAAAATACACTGTGCTAACTGTAACCCAGCAAAGCCTTTAAAACAAATGGAACCTATGCAGTGCACTGTGGTCACCTAATTCCAATTACTAAAAAACAGCTGGCTTTCTGTAATTGCTGCTACAGGCAGTGCCTTTGTAACTCCAGTGGGGAAGAGTAATTACAGAGCTGAGTCCTGAAGTCTTTGTCTGGGCAGAATTTCAACACAAGTTTTCTTAAGTAATGACTCCAAGCTCTGCTTTGGAACATCTAAATACTTTTTTGTTTTCCCCTGCAAGTAGAACTCAAGATAAGGAAATTAAATATGTTAACTTTATTTTCATCTCAACGATGACATGACGTATTTACTGCCTTTTTATGATGTTACCTTTGCTTCTGTGAACTGAACCCGTCAAGTTTCCATTGGCCTTTAAAAAACCCCAGGAACTGAGACAGAACTGTTGATACAGCTTTGCTGTATAAACTCTCTGGTAGCTACTGCAAAAAAGGAGCAGTTATAAAATCCACTGCAGGGCCCTGTGAGTGAAGAAGATGGTTCAGATGCTCCTTTAGTCCCACTTGTGGTTCAGTGGCTGATGAGCATTGTAAAAAAATGAAAGTAAAATTACAGAGTAATAACAACACAACGAGGTGGAGACTGAAAAAAAACTTCTTTAACTCAGAGGAGCTGCCAAAGCAGCTCAGTGATGCAACTGAAACAGCAAATGTTCTTGAAAGAGTAGGACAAGGGCTTGCTTTACTAAACCAAACTAAAACTGCCAGGATAATCCTTGGTGCATTTCCTTCAAAGTGATTAAATCACCAGAAACCTGGAGGTTGTCAAATTGTCCTTCAGAGACACTTAGTTACACATTTCTCCAGTAACTGCAACTCCTTCCACCACCATGAGCATGAGGAACTAACTCACTCCACAAGGCATCTAATTTATTTTGCTTTAGTTATTTGCAGTCCGAGATATCACTGAAAACAAGGAGAAGCAATCTTGGTGTTATTAATGTAATTCAGCAACATCCAGCTCAATAAGTTACAGTGGTATAGAGAGAACTAAGAATTTTCACATATAAACAAATACACTAATATATAAATATAGAGGCTTCAATATACAGATATATCTAGTATCTATATATTTATATCCATATATTTATAATCACACACATTAAAAGTGTGTGCTGTGTATACAAATACAATTAAATATAATCTACAGTCTATTAAAAACGGCTGAATTAGGAAATAGCTTTATTTTTGGCACCTTACGAAACTACAGCATAAAATTACACTACAATAAGAAACAGAGCTTAAAGCTTTTCAAGCAAATATTTTATAGAAGGCAACTACAAAAACAAGCCTCTACTGAGTAAAACACAGTATTCAATGTATTTGTCCATTCATTGAGAGCATTTTCAGGAAGCAGTATTTCACCAATGCCCAATTACAAACACAAAAGGCATAAAAGCTTAGGAAAGGCAAACTTCTGACTGAGCAAGAGGTTTTGATTTAATTTCTACCAGAGAAGTGTAACCCTTTTGTAGATCAGTACTTACTTTCAGGTTTTGAATCAGCTACTGCATCCTGCATCTCCTTCAGCTGCAGTTGGGCTCTCTGCAGCCTCTGCTCTGCGTGGAACAGCTTTGGAGGGAGAATTGGACACACATGAGCTCATTCCTTGGAAATCCATGTTCAAACAACTGAACCAAAAGAGCAAAAGAACCCCAAACAGAAAAAATGGCAGCTCTAAGCATCTGGTGAGTTTCTGTTCCACAAGGGAATGTGCCAGACCAAATTTTCAACACTTGGCCTGGGTTTATTTGAGATTCCCTAATGTTAATTGAAGAGAGGATTCTCATTCTCCCAAGTGATACTTTATGGCAGAACTTCATTCAACAGTTTGCAACCAAAACTGTAAGTGGCTTGAGCATTACAACAACAGCAAAAGGCAGTGAGAATCAGGACTGCAGCAGGTAACTGTCCTTACCCTACAGTCCCTGCAATGCAGCTGAGCTGTCACAGCTATCCACTGTCCATCCCAAGAGCAGATGGAAACAACCTCCAAACAACCTCCAGCTGATCTGCCTGTTTATGATTTATGGAGATGTGGACTAAGAGCTGGAATTAGCTGGATGTCACATTCATTTTACTCGTGATCTCATTCAGGTTCAAGGAAAGACCCAACAGCTTGAGAGCTCCTAATTCCCATTGATCCACATCCAGACACAGACTGCAATACAGGAAATCTGGGGGGTTTCCCCTTTTAATGCAGTGCTGCAGTTCAGGCTACAGAATTTGGTGAGATGGTATAATAAAATGGCACTGGATTTTATGGAAGTGCCTTGTTCTGACAGCATAGGGCAGGAATAAAACCCACCCTTATACTCGGAGGTGTTGACATCCACTGTGTTGGCAGCTTCCAGTGCTTCTCAGGACAGCACTTTTGTCAAATTTGGGGACCAAAATCCCAAGGTTGCTCCTGAATACATATTCCCCCCCACCCAGGGAGAAGCTGAGGCACTTGCTGTGCTGCTCAGTCCCTGAAATCTCAGTGCAGATGCACAGAGATAGAAATCAAACCAAGGAAACATTTGCTCACTCCCATAAATATGACAAGTTCCCTTCGGGTGCTCCGGCAGTAAGTCATGGAACGTTTCCTGGGAACACTCAAGGATGATGTCAGTGGCAGCTGAGGCAGCCAAGTACCTTCACTGTGCTGTTCAAAACTTGCAGGGTCAAGCCTCTTCCCTTAAAATCTACACAGATCTTTTAAATGAGATTTCATTTTCTGGGGTCGGGAGAAACTCTCTACTGTTGGTCCTGCTGTCTTTTTGAAATGCCTGATTCCCAACCAAACGTCAACAGCTCTTGATTTTAACAGGGATGTTTTTGTGTCAGTACCTGACTTTTTTGTTCCTGTTTCTGTTGAGCCAGAGATTCTTCTCTCTCTTTCTCCAAGCGGAGCTGTCTTGCTATTTCAAGCATCCGTTGATGATTTTGTACTGTCTCCACCTACAGCAAGTGGATAAATAGTGCATGTTGCTGTCAGATAGTTGAGAAATACATTAAAGGGATCATATGTCTCACAAGCCCACTTAGCACTTCCTTTCCATGCACGTTACTACTCAGAAGTGACAGCAAAGCACTGGACTTGAGATTCTTAAAAGCCCTGGACTGAGGCCTGGGAGATTCCCTGTAGGTCAATTAGTTACTCGATTCCTTCCTAGACATACAGTATGTTTATCTTAATCCCTGTTTGCATTCCAAAATCAGAGTTGCAAGCCAAGGATTATGACACTGAAATGGAACAGTGTTACTTCTCCTATTACCCTCTTCTTGAGACGCTCCACTCTTTTGACCAGTTGATCTTTCTCCTCTTCCATCGCACTGATGTCCTAAAAAGCAGAAAAAAAAGCGTAAATAAATATTAACTTATTTACATGTATGTTGGATTGGACTAAATTCTCTTCTAATTAATATGAAAATCAGAATTCTTCTCTGAATATATGGAGGTGGTTATAATTTTATTGATCTATGATCAGAACACCCAGGATTCCAATCTCTCCTACTTCCCCCACAGCTCCCACTCCCTCTTATGCTAACACTCCTCATCTGCATCCCTGACTATTAGTGTGAACATTTAAAATAAAAGCAGGTGGATTTCTCTAAAACAAAAACAAACACACACCACCAAGGAAAAATCAGCATGAACTCAACATCTGAGGCAGCCTGACATATGTTCTTAATGTCACCGTCATTACCCGCTTCCTGGCAGACCATTTTGCAAGAAGCTGCACATGAGGGATGTCTGCTGTTGCTTTTTGTATTAAAACTGTGGTAAAAAAAAAAAACAAAACACTTTCTAGTGCTGAAATATGTATCTGATTATTATTTTCCTTTAATCCTATTTTGCAACAGCAGGACTCCACAGATTGATAGTTATGAGAGAAAGGGAAATAAATTCTCCAAATGTACATCTCAACATCTGCTTGGCCTGTCTCTATGTGCCCTGGAAAGCTGTACACAGGCTTAATTATTTTGCTGAAACAGGGCAAATATCTTTACTTAACACTTTATCCACACGGGTTCATCATCACTGTTGACTTAAGCTCTTAATTCATTCAACACCCTCTGGAATTATTACCCTGTATCAGGAGAGCAAAAGGCTTTGTATGAGTTTGCATTCAGAGGAAATGGAGTTCTAATATTTGGAAATCATGCTGAACAGAGTCTTGGCAGCCTCACTGCCCAATCTGCTCCAGAAAGCTCCGCTCTGAGCACGAGCAAAGACTTTCTGCTCTGTTTGCCAACACAGCACAGTTTCCAAAAGGCAGCTGCAGAGCCCACCAGCTCTGGCCTCTACAACTTACAAAAAACAACAAAAACAACTAAAGAAAAGCTGTGCTTTTTTTTTTTTTTTTTTTTTTACCCTTCTTATCTCTGCAGTGGATAAACCAGATATTTTCAGCTGCTCGTACTCCTTGTGCAGGTTTTTAAATGCTTCCATGAGTTCTTCATGCTACAAAATGAAACAGAAATCGTGCAGAGTGAGCTCTGTGCCTGAGGATTTTCAGATCAACACATTGCTTTATTACTATGATAGTATATAGACATATAGAAGTATGGTGAGAAAAAGAATAAAATGCATTTTTTTCACTGCAAAAGCTTGTCAAGTTATAAAACAGAATTTAAAATATCACATTTATCTTGCATTTAAAGGTCCAATCAGAATTTCACAACTTCTTTGGTATTTTCCCTTGTAACGCACAGTGTATTTTCAAAACAGAGAGATGCGACCTGAGAGGGACAAATCCACGTGAACAAACTATTCTCTCTCACTCTAAATCCGTGTATATCACACCTACACATTTATCAGCCCCAAAAAGGAAGAGCCTGACCTAACAGCACACTCAGCTGAGAACGTGGGGCTGGAATTTGCAGGGTGGCCCAAGAGCAGAGCTGAGGTGACACGTGAGGAGGGGCTGTGACGCGTTGCATAAGCCGGGTACCTCGCAGGGATTGACTGATGCAGCTCAGCACTCAGGGAGAAGGAGACAGAGTGCTACTTCCACACCAGCACAGTGCCCACCAGGAATCTTAAACTGAGAGGCAGTGTGAAAGTCTGTGTGGGCAGAGAAATAACAGGGCACAGAAAGAGTTTAGGAATATGGAGAGGAAATAAATTTAGATTCGACTCGGAGAAATGCAAGCTGAGGGTATAAGGGAAGATAATCTCCACAGAAACAGCCATTCAATGAGATGGAAAAATCTAAAAAGAGAATATCAAGTCACTTTTTTTTTTTTTTTTTTCTACTTCCTGGAAAGAGCAGTTGATATGAAAGTTGAACACAAAATGGCAACAGCAAAGGCCAGTTCAAACAAAGGCATCAAAGCCCTGAGCAGTGAAGCAGCAATTCCATTCTGTAAAACCCTGGGGAACCAGCATCCAGAGCGCTCTGCTCGGGTCTGGTTGTTGCAGTTTCAAGCACAGACTGACAGGCTGGAATGAATTCAAAAAAATAGCAATAAAATGGCTACTGAGAAGAAGATAAAACCACAGAGAAAGTGCTGGACTGAATGGCAAATAAAGGTGTGATAAGGAATGCACAGGCTGGACAAGGAGGAACAAGTTAGGAGTGGAAAACCCAGCTGATTTCCACGATGCCACTAATGCACCGTGCAAGTCCTTGAACAAAAATGAACTACCAGGTGGTCCCTGAGCAAGTGCTTTCCCCACTTCTGCTGTCCAGCAGATTTCCTTTGTGTGTCTCTACCTCGGTCAGAAGGGGAGTTTAGGAAATCTTTTACTTAATGGGCACAAAATTTCAAGACCAATGGCAGGACTCAAACAAGGGCAGAGCACAGTTTGATGGATCAGGAGGGAAAGCTCTCACTTTTCACTGTGGGTACCCCCACATGCACCTGGAATATGGGACACACTCAAATGACCAAAGAACACCCAGGTTCCTATATGGAAAGGAAGATTCCTGGTAGCTGGGAGCAACTCATTGAAGACTGGACAACTAAATTAACTCCTGAAGTTGCTCATTTTTAAAATCTTATTTGAAATTTCTCTTAAAAGACACCACTGCAAGCCTGTATCTAAATCATTTAGGCTAAGTTCTTTAATGCATTAGTATCTAAATATTTGCATTGTCATGCTAAACTGCAGTAAGGCATTCTGTTACCCCAGCTTCTGTTTTGAATTAATCAGCAGGGTATTAGTTTAATAAGATGGTTCTATTACTGTAATCCCAAAAAGGAACACATCTTACGTAATGGAAATTATGGAGGTGGATATTTATACATATTAAGACCGTGACATACTGAAAAAACATACAATCTGCATTCCTTTCTCTTTTTACTACCTCTGCTGAGTTACCCCGAGTTATAAATCCAATATTGTTAGAGGTAACAAAAAAATAAAAGGCTTGGTCAAGCTTCAGTCAGACTGTTCAGCTTTGCTGGTGCACAGTTAATAAATCAAGTTACCTGCTACAAACACTAAAAACCACAGTGGTTTTAAAAAACAAAAGGCACAGAAAACTGGACTAAAAAAAAAAGTAAATATGTACTTCAGGTAATACAGATATAAACCCCTAGCTTTGGTTCACTTGAAGTTTTACAATTCAAACCCACCCAGTCTGACTATCTAAAATCAACATTCAATGCTCACAAAAGAAGTGGGAACATAATAAGTAGGAATGTCAGCACAGAAAAAAAGAAATCTTTTACTTATTCACCAAAAAATAAACGGTTGAAGCAAAAGTGGAATAAGGTTAACACAAATATTAGGCATCAGATACTATCAATTGACAATCACGACTACCAAATACATTCAATTGACAATTAGGAGACACTGGCTTTTGGTGATAACATTTTCTGGACTGCTTTGAAGTGGTAATTTACAATTAAAAACTTACATGTCATAGTTCATAGGAAAAAAGATGTTAAAAAATAAATGGAACATGGCTCTGGACGTGATTTGGCACCCAGTACTTAACGGGTTGAAAGCCTTTTAATTCAATACTGCCTATTAACATCCAAATTCAGGGTTATTGGAAGGGAAGTGGTCAAGACATCTATTTCTTATTACGAATCTTTGCTCATTCTTGATGCCAACATGCTCTGAACATAAACATTAACTCCCTGGTTCCTTCATCCCTCCTCCCGCCAGCACTTTCATTCACATAAAATGTGACAAGCGGTACCTGTTTGTTGATGTCAGCCACGGTATCATCCTGGAGAAACTCTGCTGGCACTTCCAGTTTCACCAAGAAACGGGCCAGGTAGGCTCTTTTCTTGAGCTCACTGGTCCTCTGCAGAAGCCAGTGTAAGAGGGGATGAACGACAGGTTTGCTCCCCGTGACCAACCCCTGGCGAAAAGCACTTCTGTGTGACAGGGACAGAGAGAACACCAGTGAATCTCAGCCTAAGGAATGCTGGCCTGGAACAAAGAATTTGCAATGTTTTGATGTTCCTTCCCCACTTGGCTAATGATGTTCTTAATGCTGTTAAAAGAGAAAACGCTCATGATGAGGCTGAGAGGGTTGGGATTGTTCAGCCTGGAAGAGAGAGGGCTCCAGGGTGTATAATTGTGTGAGCTAATTGTCTCTTCCAGGATCTGAAGGAGACGACAGGAAAGATGGGGAGAGACCATTTACAAGGGCCTGGAGTGACAGGACAAAGGGGAATGGATTCCCACTAACAGAAGGTAGGCTTAGATGGGATACTGGGGAGAAATTCTTCCCTGTGAGGGTGGTGAGGCCCAGAGAAGGTTGCCCAGAGAAGCTGTGCCTGCCCCATCCCTGGAAGTGTTCAAGTCCAGGTTGGATGGAGCTTGGAACAACCTGGTCTAGCAGGAGGTGTCTGGATGGTTTTTTGGTTTTTAAGATCCCTCCCAGTCCAAACCATTCTGGGATTCTATGATGGCAGTTTTCGACTTAGAATCCCCATTCTGCTCCCTTGAGGCAGATGAAAAACCCATAACCCACTAAAAGGATAAAACCGGGAGGGACAACTCCAGGTTCCCTGCGGCAGCCTCGGGGAATGCTGGTAGGGTGGGCGGGGCTCGGGATTTGGGGATCACCTGGCGCAGGTGAATCCCTCCCGCCTCGGGCGCGGCGAGGACGGGCCGGGCCGGGCCGGGCCGACCCTGCCGGGCGGGCAGTGCCCTCTGCCGGCAGCGCCCGCCACTGCACCTGCCCAGGTGTGCCACTGCACCTGGGATCCCATCCCAACCTGTGCCACCGCACCTGGGAACCCATCCCAACCTGTGCCACTGCACCTGGGAACCCATCCCAGCCTGTGCCACCGCACCTGGGAACCCATCCCAGCCTGTGCCACTGCACCTGGCACCCCATCCCAACCTGTGCCACTGCACCTGGGATCCCATCCCAACCTGTGCCACTGCACCTGGGATCCCATCCCAACCTGTGCCACTGCACCTGGGATCCCATCCCCAGCCTGTGCCACTGCACCTGGGAACCCATCCCAGCCTGTGCCACTGCACCTGGCACCCCATCCCAACCTGTGCCACCGCACCTGGGATCCCATCCCAACCTGTGCCACTGCACCTGGGAACCCATCCCAACCTGTGCCACCGCACCTGGGAACCCATCCCAGCCTGTGCCACTGCACCTGGCACCCCATCCCAACCTGTGCCACCGCTCCTGGGATCCCATCCCAACCTGTGCCACCGCTCCTGGGATCCCATCCCAGCCTGTGCCACTGCACCTGGGAACTCATCCCAACCTGTGCCACCGCACCTGGGATCCCATCCCAGCCTGTGCCACTGCACCTGGGAACTCATCCCAACCTGTGCCACTGCACCTGGCACCCCATCCCAACCTGTGCCACTGCACCTGGGATCCCATCCCAACCTGTGCCACCGCACCTGGCACCCCATCCCAACCTGTGCCACTGCACCTGGGAACCCATCCCAACCTGTGCCACCGCTCCTGGGAACTCATCCCAACCTGTGCCACCGCTCCTGGGATCCCATCCCAACCTGTGCCACCACACCTGGGATCCCATCCCAACCTGTGCCACCGCACCTGGCACCCCATCCCAACCTGTGCCACCGCACCTGGCACCCCGTCCAGCATCCACAGGGACACGGGAACAGCTCTCACCTGAATTAAAGGTTGCTACCACATGAGCAGCAAGCGATGTTTTAACATGGTTTGCAGGTAAAAGGATACTCACAGGTCTGACACACTCCCTGGAGGTTTGTATTTGAGAATTCCAAGGAGGTTCAGCATTCTTTTAGCTGTTTGTTCTGGCAGCTCCTCTCTAATGTCAACAGCATGCTAAACAATTTGTAAAAATCAATTAATGATATATAGTAATAATTATTATATTAAAAATACTACTAAATATTGTAATTATTAAATTACTTATTTTATAAGTAATTGCTAATTATTATAATTATATTGTTAACTATAATTAATTACAATTATTATCTACTTCATTGTCCAAGTGGTATCAATTAACTGGCAACACTAAAAGAATTGACTTTATTACTCTATCAAATGATAGTGAGATGCTCTGCACAGAACATCCCTTTTATCACCAAACTTCAATTCTCTTCTAGTGGATTTTCTCCAACATGAGTGCTCAGGTAAATTCATGCTAAATTACCATTCTCCCTGCTCACAGGAATCATCTGTACAGACACCGTGAGCACATCCAAGCAGGAATTCAGGCATCCTGGCACTCCAAGGCACAGGTATCCATGCCCCAGATGTGTGGACACGTGTGTGTGTGCAGGGCACAGCCTGACCTTGCCCTAAGAGCGTGAAGGTTCTCAGCATGAACCAACATCTACATCCTGAGTTTCACAAGCAAACCATCCAGTGATCAGTCTCTGGGGGCAGGGATCCAGTGCCCGCCCCAAGGAACATCTGCTGCTTTGCAAACGTTTTTACACACTCAGATGTATTGACGGGAAGGATTCCTGCCAGGCACAGTTATTCCCAGGAAGATCCACACGAGCTGTTTTGAAAAGCCAAGCACGCCGCGGGATTACACCGAGCCAGACCTCAAGAAAAGCACATTTCGGTGCCAAACCCACCGCAGGAGGTGTGGGCTGCTCTGAGCGCCCCCCTTACCTTCGGATCAATCTCGCCCAGAACATCATTGAGCAGCTGCAGCAGCTGCACCGACTCCAGGGAGTCAAACGAGACTAAGTTGTAGTTCTTCCTGAAGGGCTCCTGATTGAGCTTCTCGACAATGAACTGCATTTGGTCACCCATGGCGGTGTCCGGGGGGCACCCGGCGGCGGCGGGGGCGGGGGCGGGGGCGGGGGTCCGGGCAGGGGGTCCGGGCCGGGCCCTGCGAGGAGGCCCCGGAGGAGCCTCCCGGCACGGCGGGGGCGGTTGCCGGGATACGGCGTGACGTCACTTCCGATGCCACGGCGGAGCGGCGGGAACCGGGACGGCTCCGGGCGGGGGAAGGGGGCGGGGTCTGATGATGAGGGGGCGTGGCCGTCCCGCGATGGGCGGGGCTGGGCTCTGTGTGTGAGGGGTCTGGCTCTGGATGGGCGTGGTTTGATTGTGGGAGGCGTGGTCAGCCGGGGCCGTGGGCGTGGCCACGCCGTGAGGGGCGTTCTGTCTGTGGCGGCGTCTCCGGGGTGCGGTCACGGGCGGGGCGGGTGTGGGTGTGTGGGGACCGCGACACGGCGGTCCCTCCCGGGCTCTCCCGCCCGCCCCGCGCGTGTTTCGCTGTCCTCGCAGCCGCTTAGCCCGAGGAAGCCGTCGCAGTGCGCCCCGAGCAGCCCTTCCCGCTCAGTCCCGTCCAGGGTCCGCGGCCGAGGTCGCTGTGGGCGCTCTGGGGCGGACACGGCACCGGGCAAGGCTGCCCTGCGGCTCCGCCACGGCACAAGTGCGAGGAGCGGCAGGAACAGGTCCGAGATTTCACCCTCCGCAGGATAAACCTGGCTCTGCGGCTCCTCCCGGGGGAGGTGGTTGCGGCGCGTGTGGGAGATGCACAAACAGATTGCTGCAGTTACCCAGTTAAGGTTTCTGGCAGGCTCTGACAGCGCAAAGGGGCTGGTGGGGGTGTCAGGTGAACGTTCCTTCATTCCTTTGAGATGGAAAGGTGCGCAGAGGATCCGTGTGGGACGGGAACGGCGGGCCTGTGCTTCACCCTGGGGCAGATGGCAAATGTATGTCCTCCGGCTTGGACATCAGTTTTCAGCCTCGAAGTACCCGCAAATATGTAGGGCATAAACCTGAAACAGGGACAGCAGCTCCAAAACCACCAAACAATCCAAACCAGACTATATCTTAAAGAGAAACATGTTCCTGAAATCTCTCAATCTGCAAGATTTTTCTTGCAGATCCTTCAAAAGCCATGCTTAGACCTGAAATAGGTGGATTTTGGAGCCTCTCTGCTGTTGCAATTGAGTTCTTGGATAGTCTCAGAATCCCATATGAGTCCCCAGATGATGGATTAAAATATGCAGTGAGTCATTCAAATTGGTGCCAGTTGAAATGCACAGGTTGTAAATCACTGCAGGATTTGACTCAGTAAGTAGCATAACTGTAATACTTTGCAATTCTAACCACTGCGACTATCTTGGATGAGCTCTTTTTTCCCTTCTGAGATACAGAAAGCACTTCATAAAATGATTTAATTAAATGTAATCCCCTTCTTCACGGGAAGGCTGAGCAGTGACACTGCACTGGTGTCCAGGCTTTTAACTGGTTAAACAATCACAAAGGGGATGGACGGGTGGCTTGTGGTTGTTCATGAAAGCTGTGGTAGAGCCAGGAACATAATCCAGGTCTTCTGACTCCTGGATTTGAACTTTAAAACCAGATCGTGTTTCCTTTGTGCTGTCAGTCCCTATACTGACCTTTAGGAATCGTATTTACCTACAATTTCCCAGAAGAGATCTACTTTCCCTTGTCATGCTCTCCTGGTATCAATTACAGTTTTCTCTGGTGAGTATTTTGAGCATGCAGGACACAGAGAGAGCAAATGAAAATGGTATTTCTGCTGGAGGCGCTGGGGCCAAACCTGCTCTGTGTAGACTGAGTTCACAGGGAGTGTTGCCTGCGGGTCCACCACCACTTAATCCTGGAGAAACACTGTTTCTGTAAACGCTGTTACACAGCCTTTCTTCAGAGGGCAGAGAGATTGTGGTGGTGAGGATGGAGAGGGGTCTGTGCTGGATAAAGTGGGCTGGTGCTGCTCTGAGACTCTCTTCTATATCAGATTCTTTCAGTCCCCACACTGAAAGGAATGTTCCCCTCTTCTCATATCTCTCTAATGTTAAAGAGGTAACAGATAAAGAAGAGGAAGGATGTATGAAAGCTTTAGAAAATGCCAAGATAAGAAAAAAAGAGTGTGAGATGGAAACCCATGAAGTCTGATTGTTCTGACTCTGGGGAAGGAGACCTCCATGACCAGAGATCATTAAAAGTGGGCTAAAAGTGGACTGATCAACAACCAGTTTGTTGACCTGCTTGAAAGCTCAAGCAACTGAGGCAGGAGCAAAATCACACACTGGAGCCCAGTTTTGTGGGACTTCCCAACTTGCAGAAGGTGTGAGAGATCCTGTGTTACCCTTTAAGTTTTAGGTTGTCACAGTCCTTTCCTCCAACAGTTTTGTGCTCTTCATACAAGCAGCCCCAAGAGCCATTCTGCTCCCCCAGGCTGCCTCTCCTCTGCTTTGTATTTACAGTCTGCAGTGGTGTCTGAATATTCAAAATTACTGCTTTAAAAAAAATAATCAAGGCTTAGCTGAGTGCCTTGACCTCTTTATCACAAGAGAATCTTCACAGACATAAAAGAGATTATAAGCTCTCAGTGCAGCCTTGAGTAAATATTACAGGAAGCAGCTGAGATATTTGTTTGATGCTTAACTTGTCTTAAGTTATCTTAGTTGGGCGGTGTGGTATCTGTGTAAAGTCTTGCAGAATTGAGGGTCAGTGGTCCAGCATATTTGTTCTATAATTCTGTGGTCATTTTCCACATTCCCAAGTTAGTGCTGAGAGTGATTCAGGTTTTGAAGCAAAGATTCCTAATGACATGAGAGCTATTACAACTATTCAGCCCTGTAGTTCCACCCCGCTCTCTGGACAGAGTTCATGTTTTATATTGCTTGGGAAAGGCTTTGGGAAGCTGCTCGTGGCAGAGGCAATGTGTGGCAGAGGGAGAACAGAGCCTGCAGATGAACCACCCAGAGCTCTCCAGACCTGCCTCGTTGCTCCCTCCTGCCTTTCCCCTCCCTTTACAGCCACCGCTGTGTGGAAGCTGCAGAGCAGAGCTGAGGGAGAGCTCGACCCACAGAGACCAGCAAATCAGAGCGGGGCGAAACCTGAGCAAATGAAAATCCTGCTGCAGGGGCAGAGAGATCACCTTATATGGGAACATCGTGGGAAAGAGAGGAACACGTCCGGCCGAGCTGCTGAGGTCAGACCCCAAACAGATGGGAGATGTTAATGGGAAAACAAGAGCATTTATGAAGAGGAGACAACACTTCTGCTTCGCTTATGCAATCTGAGCCCTCCTGTTTGTCTCTTTTATTATAAACATTGTGCTGTGTGTATGTACACACAGGTCTGGCTGTGTTATACTAAAGTTAACTTCTTGGTGGTTATTTTGGTACCTAAATGCATCCCAGGTCTGTTTCTGGTGCCCACTTGCAGCTGTACCGTGGTCAGCGAAAGCCTAAGGAGGGATCACTGATGGCTCAAAAAATGAAGCCTTTTTGTGCAGAATGCAGCTTGTTCCTGTGAGCTGAAGCATTTAAGACAACACCAACAGCCAAAAAGCCTGTCTGCTTTTGAATGTTTTGTCATGACTACAGCTGTAGGTGATTTAAAACACAGAAGGATTGGAAGAAAAATATTAGATCTGGTTTGTAGGGTATTTTGTGCCTTCATGTGAGTCTTCTACTGCTGCAAGAGAGGCCCCTGGTCCTTTTAATCTGAATCTAATGGATTCTGACCCAAACTTGTGTCTTTCAGACTCTGAGCCTGAGATTTACAGGTCCCACTTGGACAGCTCTGCATCTTTGCAGCCCTTACTCCTGTGTGTGCAGTGTCAGATGGTGACCTCACACCTCGCCTTGACACCCAGTGTTTCTTCAGGCTGGCAATGTCTGGTAGTATCTGAGGAGAGATGGTACCATGGCAGCAAACGAGACCATCGATCTGGTGTTGGACCATCCTGGAGGATGGGTGTGGTTGTGGGAACTCTGAGGTGGGAAAGTGGCATAGGATGTTATCTAACAAGGTGGGGTTGCTTGGACAGAGTTAACTAAGCGTCCTCTAAAAAACACTCGTGGTTTTGTTTCTTGTCTGAAAAATACAAAATAACTCCACTGATTAACCTCAGATTTACACCAGTGTTTCTGAGATTAGAGCCTGCTCTGTAGAGTCCCTGCTCAAGGTCAGATGAAATGGCAAGCCACCCCTTGCAGCAGACTCCAAGAACAATAAGATGTTTTAGGAATATGCAATAATTGATTGCCTCTAAAGGGCAAACTTTCCTCTGTGCTGCCAAGCGAGGGCTGTTCTCAGTGATAAGTGTTTGCTGAACAAAGTCTGCCGAGGTTCATGAAGTTGGTTTCATTCTCCTGGGAGGGCAGCAGGCCAGGACATTGAGCACACTGATCCCAATCACACAAAGAATCAAGTCTGCAGGAAATTCAAGTTGCCTTCCTAAGGTTCCATATCCACCTACTGCTGCTCAGAGCTGGGTTCCCACTGCCACTTTCCAACAACATCGTTATCCCAAGGCACTGTTCTCCCAAAGGAAAAGGTTGAAAAGCTGTTACAACAGAGGATATAAATAAAGGAGCACTGAGCAGTTGCTTTGTATTTCTATTCTGCTCTCTATCTGTTCTTCAGATCCTATTTTATCACCCTCCAGAAAAGTCTGTTGTTAACCTGACGTGGTGCAAGCGCTTGTGGCTTGTTTTTCAAAGCAAACCTTTTATATCACTTTTGTGTAGTGTAGAAAGTACCTTCTGAGCATACAATAGTTTTTCAAAATTGACAGTGCTTTTTTTGAGTTAGAGGAGCTGGATGACATTCCTGTCAGCTTGAAAACAGAGCTGTCCTTCCTCCTTGACACATCCAATTCATGAGAAAGTGAAAATGTTAGGCCAAGGTTTTTGAAGGAATCAGCATGAGGCACAAAAATAGTCACTCTGAAAAGTTAACAACTACGTATTTTAAACTCTTTTTGAGAAGAACAACATGGAGAGGACACCACCACTGGTGAC